ATTTGATGGTGTTTTTTGTAATTGCATGTGTTTTCTTAAATTGCAGCACGTTAAGCTTTCTCAGCTACTGTATGATAGATGAGACGTCCCATGTTTGGGTCTACATAAAATTAAGTTTACATAAGTGATTTCATATACATAGAAAACATATTAAATACAGGCCAAGTTCTACGTTAATAAAAAGAATTGTGAAAAATGTAAAATATGGGTTATGTTCTGTTAAATGGAAGATTTTTTTCAACACATTTCTAAACATTTTAGTTTTCATAACTAATTTAAAAAACTGATTTCTTTTATCTGTGCCAGTACATAATATTTTACTAAATATTTTTTAAGATGCTACTATTTACTTTAAATTGCAACTTAAAGGCTTAACTAGATTCATAAGACTAGTTAAGGGGTGACGTGGTGGCGCAGTGGGTAGCATGATCACCTGACAGCAAGAAGGTTGCTAGTTCGAGCCTCGTCAGGGTCAGTTGGCATTTCTGTGTGGAGTTTGCATGTTCACCCCGTTTTGCGTGGGTTTTGTCCGGTTGCTCCAGTTTTCCCCAAAGGTCCAAAGACGTGATATAGGCAATTTGGGTAAGCTAAATTGTCTGTAGTGTATATGTGTGAATGAGTGTGTATGGATGTTTCCCAGGGATGGGTTGCAGCTAGAAAGGCATCCGCTGCGCATAACATGATGGATAAATTGAGGGTTCATTCCGCTGTGGCGACCCCAGATTAATAAAGGGACTAAGCTGAAAAAAAATGAATGAATGAATGAATGAGACTAGTTAAGGTCATTAGGTAAGTTATTGTATACTCTGTAGCCAACTGAAAAAAGAAAATTGCTTAAGGGGGCTAATAATCTTGACCCAAAAATTGTTTTAATTCCATAATTACATTTAATTTAATTCTGTTTTGTATTCCAGCCAAAATAAAACAAATAACTCAAAACAAATACACTTAATGACAAAGTAACATTGTGTCACCCATATTTAATTTTTTTTCACTTTTTTTCATTTAAGTATATAAATGAGACAACATACTTGCACTGTCCAAAATATCTGGCTATTTATTTTTCTTTATATTTGCTTTTCAAACTGCAATATGGGACCATGATTTCTGTTAATTTAGCAATTATGAATGAATGAACCACCAACTTATCCAAGATGTTTGTTATATGTTATTTTCAAAGCGGAAATTCACAGATGTTTATTTATATATATATTTATTTTTTGTACTGTGTTTACTGATCTGTACTTTATCAAAAAAATAATATGAAGAGTTCAGATGCAAAAAGTGCCATCTGAAAATTCCATAGAATTTTTTTTCTCAACCTCCTGTGTTTATGTTGAGTTATTTAACTTTAATGAACATGAGTAGGGCTTATCCTGTGCTGTAAAAGTGAAATAACAGCACCTACTCAGGAGTCTGATAAAATGCTCATTTAAGAAAAAAAAATTCAGATGGCATTTAGAGGGTTTTGCTTCTAAACTCTTCATATATTAATAATATATTACATGTTTTATATTTCAAAGTATTTAAAGTCTTGCTATATACTGACAAATATGTAAAAAAAAAAAAAACTCAAGCTGTATTGCACTTATTTATTCAGATGCTTTTTAATGCTTTCCATGCAATTTTGTTGTCTCACTCACTCTGCATCTGCCAAACAGACCTCAAAACTATGATGATTAATACCATCGCCTCAATAATTTGCTGTAAATATAGCCTAGCCTGCAGATCTATATTTGTTCTTTTGCCAGATCAAATAAACATGCATGAAACCTTTTATAGAGATGAAACTGCAAGCAAGTTGATACTTCTGATGCACTTATTTTTTATAGACTATGAATTGCAGGTCTAACACATTTAATGTTATCTACTATGAAGTGATAGAAAAGGCTAAAAGTGTAAAGCGTACATGTTTAGCTAGAAACTGTTAATAGTAAAGTTAATCACGTTCAGAAAGACTGCAAAATAGAACATTATGGGGTTCACATTAAAGTAAAGCATGGTAAATGTTCCTCCTTAAAACATTTACATTTTAAGAGCATCTAAACATGCATTGCAGCATATACTATATATTACAAAACAACAATAAAGCAAGAAAACATTGTTGTAATTCATGCAGTGGATTTAATTGGTCATAAGATAAAACTATTTTCCAGGTGTGAGAGGAATTGTGTGCTGAAAGTGGGTTGCTGAGGAGAGTTAATGGTTAACACACTACACACAGACATTCCACAAATGGATTTAGTTGAACAGAAACATATGAGAAACAAGGGGAAAACGTAAAACTGCACCATCCACCATACAGAAAGGCTGTGTTCAATGCAAAATGGGTTTTATAGTTTAGAAATTGTTAACAACAAAGTTACTTCTTGAATAGTGTCTGCAGTTTCATTTTAGGCTACTCGCCAACTCCGTTAATAACATTGAGTTCCATTGACTAACTAAACTAATTGGTCTGTAAAGGGGCTGTAGAATCCTAATTTCACAGTGGTGTTAATTGCAAAAATCAAGAACCTGTGATCTGTGCCTCCTTTCACAAGATTTTTTTTATTCTTTTTGATGTACAGTTTTTAGTGTTAAAGCGTTGCTCCTGTCTACTACCGCCATCTGCTGGACATTAGACTCTCTGTAGGTGTATACAACTCTTTTTACTGGGTAAAATTAAAACCTTCAAAACAATTATGTCTTTATGTCTGTTACTTGAAATACATGTTAACTATAAATATATTAAATATCTATAAAAATAAATATTGTGAATAAATTAGTAAATAAATCAACAGTCTCTAGTTTCCAAGGAAATTAACGTAAAACTAAATTAACTAAAAACAAGAATGAATCATAAATCAAAGAAGTCATTTTAATTCACTTTAAACTAATAATTAGAAAGAATTGATTGCTAATTTAATGTTAATGTGATCATTTGTAGCTGCAAAATTTTAGAAGATTATGCTTGATGATTAGTTTAATTTTTTTGTAGGACAACAATGCAAAATAAATTTATGATAATAGTAATAGCTATGACAGCTATGGCAAATATGGTTATGATAATTCCAATAAAGTGTATGCAAGTTTCATTCATTCATTTTCTTTCCGGCTGAGTGCCTGTATTAATCAGGGGTCACCACAGCACAATGAACCACCAACTTATCCAGCATATGTTTTACGCTGCGGATGCCATTGCAGCCGTAACCCAACACTGGGAAACACCCATACACTCTTGCATTCAAACACACTACGGCCAATTAATTTTTTTTATTCACCTATAGCGCATGTCTGTGGACTGTGGGAAAACCCGAGCACCCGGAGGAAACCCACACCGACACCGGAAGACCATGGAAACTCCACACAGAAATGCCAACTGACCCAGCTGAGGCTCGAACCAGCAACCTTCTTGCTGTGAGGCTATTGTGCTACCCACTGTGCCACTGTGATGCCTGTTTGCAAGTTTTATTTTTTTATTATTATAAATTTTTTATTATTTAGTTTTTATTACTTCATGAACGACATTTACAGAACAATGCCAGGGCTATACATAAAATATCTGAAAAGCATAAAGAGTTATATATAAGTACACATACTCAATGAGGAAAACAAAACAAAACAAAAAAATAATACAAATACTACAAATAACGCTAGGCCTTGCTAAACAAACACACAGTTTTAACAGATTTTTTTGTTTGTACTCTCCTTAATGGTACTGTAGCTATACAAATATCTAGTTCCTTATGTAACGTTACTGACTGCTGAATTTACAATACAGGATTACACTTACCGGCCACTTTATTGGGTACACCTTACTAGTACTGGGTTGGATCCCCTTTTGCCTTCAGAGCTGCCTTTGTGATTCAACAAGGTACTGGAAATATTCCTTTGAGATTTTGGTCCATATTTAAATGATTTGTCGGCTGCACATCTCCCGTTCCACCATATCACAAAGGTGCTCTATTGGATTGAGTCCGGTGACCGTGTAGGCCATTTGAGTACAGTGAACTCATTTTCATGTTTAGGAAACCGGTCTGAGATGATTCACGCTGCATGACACGCTGTTATGTTTTTCCAATCTTCCTGATTGTCTTGACCATGTCAACATGCCTAAATGCATTAAGTTGCTGCCCTATGATTGGCTGATTAGAAATCTGCGTTTGGCCTAATTAAGTGGCCAAATAAAGTGGATTTTAAATAAATTACCGAATTACCATATATTATCCATATCCTACAGAAAATAAAAATGTTTTTATCTTATAATATATTTTCTATATACTTAATAGGGCATCATAGTGGTGCAGTGGGTAGCAGCACAAAGGTCGATGGTTTGAGCCCCGGCTGGGTCAGTTGGCATTTCTGTGTGAAGTTTGCATGTTCTCCCTGTGTTTGCATGAGTTTCCTCTGGGTGCCGGTTTCCTCCACAAAGACGTGCTATAGGTGAATTGGGTAAGCTAAAGTGGCCTTAGTGTATGAGTCTGAATGGGAGTTTATGGGTGTTTCCCAGTGATGGGTTGCAGCTGGAAGGTCATCCGCTGCGTAAAACATATACTGGATAAGTTGGCGGTTCATTCCGCTGTGGCAACCCTGGTTTGGTATACAAAACCTTGGTATAAAAAAATTATACCAAGAATAGTCTTGTGCTGTAAACAAGTGCCAACTAGTTTCATTAAGTGAGGCTATGCTATTTTTTATGTTATCTATATGCTCATGTTTATATAGTTCAAATTGGTGTCTGTGCACTCTTGTGTGCAATTTTTGTATGTTTATAAGCACCTCCAAGCCCAATAGTGTGGTCGCGAATCACTGGAGTTGTTAATTTGGGGATCGCAGGCTGAGGCTGAAAAGCGTGGGGAACCCTTTTAACTATGCAGGTTATTAAATATCGTTAAGAATCGCCCCCTTAGCACATGACTGATTTACATATGTTGACTGACAGGCGAATGAAACCACTGAAACGGTGCCCGGCGGAGGTGAGTTCGAGTGTTTCCGGGTGACGGCTGTAAGCTGCGCGTCCCCGCATTCAAAGGTCGCTGATTGATGCTCTCTCTCGTCCCGGTGAGATTTTCACTTGTTCAATATCCATCTCCACCAACATTGTCAGTTGAAGGCAAAACAATGCATTCGTGCTAGCGTCGATTAGTTCTCGAAATGCAAGCGCAAACTGCAGTTGTGGCTTTCTGTGTAGCTATCATGCTAGCAAAAGAAAAGAAGGGGAAATGAGGCGCTAGTGCCCGCCTTCTGTAGAGCCGCGTTTCTCTTCCGAAAAAACAAACAAACTAGCGCATAACGGATGTTAATTATCACATATACAACTAATACTATTTTGAGCCGCATGATTCTATTGAAAATACGTTATAAATGTATGCAGATAACCCTTTGCCATTGAGCTACTTGAATGAATGACTTTTGCGTTGTCCAATAACAAACCGTTGGCACGAGGACAAGCGCCGTTAAACAACCGTTTCCTTTCATAGTGAATAATATTCATTTTTACTATCCGTGTGTTTAAATTATGAAAGTTAATGAAGGGTTGAGTAATCTTTGGGTCACATTTGATGCAGACTTGTCACTCGTTTGTTCCGTTGACGTGGTGCTGGAATTGGATTGTAGTTGGCACGATAATCCAATAGAGTCTGTCTGCACGCCTTTAATTAAATAGGTGCTTTGATTGTTTCCTACGCCTTCATGCAAAATCAAACTGCAGTGCTTTTATCTGTGGGTTGCTTGAGTGTCTATATATTAGGAAACGTAGCTAAATTTAGGCGTTTAATCACTGGTGTGTTAGTGAAAACTGTTCATGTGCACCATGCTTAAGGTGTGCTTTAACTTTTATTAACACAAATCTGGCATTTATTGTGTTGCAGAATCAGTAGATTTGATGATGATAATGATAATTATTAATAATTATGCTGTTTACATCAAATTAAAAGAACAATTTTAATATAAACTTACTTAATTGCAATAAAAATACATATTTGTATGAAGAAATGTAGTATAATTAGTACAATTTAGCCAATCATGCTAAATTGTCTTATATTTTAAGTAATTAAATGGAATAACTGATAAGCACACAATGATTAGATTGCCAAAGTATAAAGATTAAAACATTTAATTTAATATTACATCAGATTATTTTTTCCTAAATCTGTTTAGTATCTATTGTCAAGCTAACATTTTACTGAGTGTCCTCTGCAAATTGTAATGTATAAAAAGATCTTATCTTAGTCATTAATCTTAAATTAAAATAATATCATGATGCCTGCAAATTTTAGTGATAAAAAAGAATTTTAATAATTAACAATTTATTGCATTGTTTTTACAGTTGTTTTAAGTGAAAACTAAAAACATTTAAGATTCATTCTGTATTTGCTTAGTAAGATGCTTTTTTTCATTATTAATATTGTGTATTCTGGCTCAGACAGTATTTATGGTGTTAAAGACCATAAATGACCTGTAGGTCTTCCAATCTGTAAACTGCTACTGTGTAACCTGCTCTGGCCCGCTGAGAAAAAAACCCTTATCACCTTCATATCAGAAAGTCTGTAGCTGAACAAATACACTTCACCACACTTTTCAGAGTTGGCCTCAGCTCGACCTTGACTGTTTCACCCCGAGGATTAATTGATCTGTTTTGTGTCTCTACAAATAGACTGCAAAGAGCCATATGTTCTTTAGATACTGGAGAAAATAAGTGCAAATGTATTTATTTCCATTGTATTTTTACTACTGTACAATATACAAACCGCATAAAAGTTTGATTTGGTCAAAAATATTGTAAAACATTGGAATATATTGGAAAAACAAATAATAAATGTATACATCTATAATAAAAGACTTGTTTTTAAGCTGCTTTTCAAAATGATGCTTTTTAATAAAAGCCACAGTATTATAAAAATGGTACAATAAACCTTTTGAATCTAGTTTTAAAATGTGATTTAATGAATTTAAACGAGCACATTTTCATCATCATTACTTAAGTATTCACATGATCCTTCAGAAATCATTCTAATGTGAGCAAAAACATTTCTGATTATCATTTTTGAAAACTGTATGTACTAAATGATTATTTATTGAACAAAATCAGAATCTTTTGTAACATTATAACTATCTTTACTATTACTTGCATGTGCATTGCTTAGTAAACTTTTTTAATATGACTTTTTTATATTAAGCAAAGTGTTCTTGATCTGGAATTGTTTTAAGCAATGTCACAATTCATAATGTTAGTAAGGCCCTCAACCACTCAGTCACCCACTTGTGCGAACTAAGAGCATACTATAAGTGTGTCACCTTGGAGGTGGCTAAACAGCTGAGCTCCAGAGTGAAGCATTATGGGATAGGTCAGCCAGCTCACTCTTTTCTCTCTTTCACATGTAGGAGGAGGGCCGTTCCGACTGCACAGCTCCTCCTTGTGTCTCTGATGGCGAGTCTTCTGCGTGTGGTGGCCAGCAGCTGTTCCAGCCCCCTGTTCTCTGGGCTACAATGTGCCCGGACGGTGAAGAAACCTTGTGTGCGCTTCTTTAGGACACATCAAGCCCTCAACCGCCTCACTAGTCCAGGTAACAGTGCTGGAATATTGAACATGATCTAATTTGGATGATTGATGTTTGTAATCGTGTGACTAGTGATTGAGTGTTTGTGTTCCTTAAGTTTAAATCACACTAAACGGAAAGAGCTTGAGTATGGTACACTTATGCTTATGGGTAAACGTTGCTTGTTTTGCCTAAGCATATTTCATTTTAAAGTATGTCAGAAGCAAATAAGACATACATAAATGTTGTCCTATTATTATTATGCTAATGTTTCCATGTGGTGACCATCAAGGTCACTTTGTCCCTCTTCTGCTTGTTCAGTCGCGTGATTGGACTGTCTGAGGATATGAATGAGTGTGCTGTTAGTGACCTGTGTCGCGTTCTGGCTGCTTGGATACAGTGTGTGTTGGAGGCCGGTGTTAACGGCAGGCATTTTTTTTTGAGACGGGGGCAGTATGGTAATGACAGGGGGAACGGGTTATTTCTGCACAGTGTCAGCTGAGGAGCCAGGAACGTGTCTGTGATTGAGCGCTGGGAAATGAAACATGTCTATGGTCACTTTCAGCTTTGTGGTTGTAGAACGTTTTTGGGACTCAGATGTTGTTTCCATTTCCAGACTTTATTTACAATCTGGATTGTTGTCTTGAAGTTAAATTAACCACCATTTGAGTTTATGGTCAGTATAATGTTTCTTAGTCATAAAACTACTGTTATGGTAATATAAATTATATAATTTGAATTTGTGATTTGTATTTATTTTTTTAATTAATTTTTTGAAGAAGTTTTAAAATGACTTTGGCAGCCATTTCTATAGTGTCACATCACTCAAACTGTTTTTGTTATTGTCGTTATTGCTCAGAAAACACATCTTGTTAATGATAAATATTTTTTAAAACCAATATTTTTTCACAATCAACACAAAATTCAGCACAATAGAACTTTTTATCATAAATGTAGAATGTGTCCTGTGTAATTTTGATTACTCGGTCAAAAGTAATGACTACCATATGTTTTGTATGCCATTAAAATGCCTTACAGTGTAGTAATTTATATACCAAAAATTCATTTTAGATATATTTATTGTTAGTCATTTGGTTCATATTAACATGCGCTATTTAGGGATCATAGTGCAGCCTCATTTTTGCATGTAAAATGTCTATTGCACTGAATGACAATGATTTCTCATGATTGTTTTTAAAGCTTTCTATATAGCAAGGGTGCCCTAAATTTTTTTTATGAATGGCCAAAAAAGTGAAATATGCCAAACTTTTACATTAAAGTTGGCTTTGTAATTTGCTAATTTATTAAGATTTAAAAGTAAATGGAAATACTTACAAATGCTTAAATTGTAATAATAATAAAATCTATCTATCCATCCATCCATCAAATATTTTACGTTCTATAATGACCTCTTCATTGATTTGCTTGTCGATGTATTGTGCATTGTCCTCTACCTTCGAGTGACAGTATTTACATTTTAAAAAATCTGATTAATATACAACATTTAATTCCAGTTTGTTTTTTTGTAGCTCAACAATGAAAGAAACAAACGTTCATGACAATATCTGTTACAGACATTTGCCCCAACCTTCACCCTCAGATAGGATGGCGGGACAAATCAAAGGTTACCATGGGCCAACTTTGGCCTGTGGGCCCTAGTTCGGACATCTCTGCTAAATAGCCTACATAAAAAATACACTTGATCCCTTTACTGTCACTTTTTAAATTAAAGCATTAAAAAAAAATTTAATAAATGCTGACCTCAAATGTTTAAACAGCAGTGTATAATTATGTACAGTTGTAAAGCTTTATGCTAGTTGGTCAGGTTTGATGTGGGCGTTATGCTCATGTTACAAAATATTCACCTGGTCTCAAATGCAAAAGGTCATTGTCATTTTATATGTCAGAAAGCAGAGCTGCTTTAAGTTCTCCTGTAAAGTTTTTGTTTGAATTACATTATTAACTGTGTTAATAGTTGTCTTTTATTAAAACAATAATTCAAATGCGTAACAAATGATGCAAATAATTGCAAACTAGAAATGCAAGCTGCAAAAGAATGTTGTAAAAATCACCAATTTAATGTTGTTATTTTTAGCAGTAAATGCCACTTAGTTTGTGGTTTGGATTCCAATGCAATGTCCTTCATGCATTTCTCAAACAGTTAAAGGGATAGTTCACTCAAAAATGAAAATTGTCATCATTTAGTCTGCCTCCACTTGTATCAAATCTGTTGTATTTTGAGTTTCATCATATGTATATCAGTGTTTACCGTTTTCCAAAAGTTTTCAAAATATCTTCTAAAGCTTTGTAATCAATTGAGGATGAGTAAATGTTTATCTATGTTGCTTTATCTCTTTAAAGAGACCCAATATTTTTGGAGTTGCTGTGCTGTCTGAGGCCCAGTTCCACCACCTCTGGGCAGCTCAAGTGTGTGATTCACGTGAGCTCATGTTGTTATCTATAGATCTGTTGTGGAATTTTCCACAAGTGACCTCCTGCTGCCAGCAGAAGGACATGATTTGGATGATTTCATGATACATATTCAGCCTGTCTAGACCACATGTTGTTTGCACATCTTTTGCAGACCAGAACATATAAACTAATAATAAAACTGTGCATAAAAATTCACTACGATTGACTTCATTACACACGCCAAACACCAGCCATGCTCTGTTAACAGCTTGACTTCTTTTGTTTTTATATTGAAAAATAAAAGTGCAGAATTGGAGTTTCTGCGAAGTCACACGGTCTTTCTTACTGTAAAAATGCACACAGCTGTAAAAGCACAAGCACAGAAGTCATAGAGACTTTGTGGGACCTTAGGTTCATTCCAAAGGTCTTGACGGTACTTTAAATTCCCTTTTATAAGCTGCTGGATTAGATTTACTTGTGGATCGTATATAGGACTTATCTTTATTGCACAGCTTTTCTCTTTGACTTCAGAATGGAGAGTTAAAATTGGTCTTGAGTCTGATGTTAGCAGTAAGAGTAATGTGAGATTAAAAGTGTTCACACTTGACTCTTTTTTTGACTCATTTCATGTAGGTTACAAAAATAGTTTGCAAATAGTTTTGCATTTTGATTTGCCTTAATAATACAATCCTTTAATTTAAAACTGCATGGTGTGTGTTGACTTGTTATCTTTGACTAATATTTAAATAAGTTTGATTATCTGAAACACTAAAGTATGACAAACATGCAAAATAAGAATAGAAATCAGCAAGGGGGCAAACACTTTTTCACACCACTGTGTGTGTGTGTATATATATATATTTATATATATATATATATATATATATATATATATATATATATATATATATGGTTCACTCGAAAGTTGTCATTATTTACTCTGCCTCAACTTGTATCGAATCTGTTTGAGATCTTTTTTTTCTGTTGAACAAAAAGAAGGTATTTTGAGGAATGTTGGAACTTGCGTTGTATTTCGTATTCCTAATATAGTTGTCAATGGGCAAAATATCATATTTTGTTATATTCTCTCTATGTATATCAACTGTAAAATTTCCAGACTGAAAAATTAATTTGAAAGTTATAGATTGTTTTAATGAGGATTAGCACCTCTGAGTCCGAGGCCATGGTGCTCCACCGTAAAAAGGTGGTTTGCCATCTCTAGGATGGAGGAAAGTCCTTACCCCATGTGGAGGAGTTTAAGTATCTCGGGGTTTTGTTCATGAGTGAGGGAAGGATGGAACTTGAGATTGACTGGCGGATTGGTGCAGCAGTAATGCCGTCGATGTATTGGTCCGTTGTGGTAAAGAAGGAGCTGAGCCAAAAGGCAAAGCTCTCGATTTACCGGTCAATCTACGTTCCTACTCTCACCTATGGTTATGAGCTTTGGGTCATGACTGAAAGGTCGAGATCTCAGATACAAGTGGCCGAAATTAGTTTCCTTCGAAGGATGGCAGGGTGCACTCTTATGGATAGGGTGAGGAGGTCTGACACCCGGGAGGAGCTTGGAGTAGAGCTGCTGCTCCTCCACATCGAGAGAAGTCAGCTGAGGTGGCTCAGGCATCTGTTTCGGATGCCTCCTGGACGCCTACCTAGGGAGGTGTTCCAGGCATGTCCCACCGGGAGGAGGCCTCAGGGAAGACCCAGTACACGCTAGAGGGATCATGTCTCTCGGCTGGCCTGGGAACGCCTCGGGATCCCCCCTGAGGAGCTGGAGGAAGTGTCTGGGGAGGGGAAAGTCTGGGGTTCTCTCCTAAAACTGCTGCCCCCGCGACCCAGCCCCAAAAAAGCAGCAGAAAATGAATGAATGAATGAAAGGATGAAATTATTTTAATAGATTTTCTTGTACTACTAGTGCAGAACTTGCTTTTGATCTTTTGCATTTACCATGCATATTGGAAACCTCTTTATCCAGACTGAGTTGATTCTGTTAATTTTCTTCAGGCATTCCTTACAAACAGCTGACCGTCGGCGTTCCTAAGGAAATCTTTCAGAATGAGCGTCGAGTGGCCATCTCTCCTGCCGGAGTGGAAGCTCTCATCAAGCAGGGCTTTAATGTGGTGGTGGAGTCCGGCGCGGGAGAATCTGCCAAGTTCTCTGATGACATGTACACAAAAGCAGGAGCCACCATCAGGGACGTCAAGGATGTCTTCTCATCTGATGTTCTCCTTAAGGTACTGTTTGATCTACTAATCTTTACTTCACCTAATTGAGCCTCAAACATGAGTCACTATGTTTACATTGACAACTATATTCTAAAATTAGCATGATTAGGACAATACTCTGATTAAGAAATTACCATGTAAACTAAAATCTTTGATTGCGTTAATCTGGCTAAGGCCGTATACACCTAGCATGATTACTATAAAGATAATAATAATTTCATTGTTCTAAAACTCATTCTGAATGTAAAGCAACAGCAGAGTTCAGACCACAGCTGTAAGATGTGGAGAAACAATATCATTGGGATATGAAAAATACATTGACAGCCAGTCAGATTCCATTAAAATCTAAAGGGCCCATGCAATTTAAAGTTGAAAGAAGCACACTGCTTGATGCTAAGCTCTTTTTTCAAATATTATTTAAAGATAATGTTGATCTTGAAAACAATTGGTTGTCGCACGGGAGGAAATTATAAAAATGTACATGCAAGCTAGCCAAGCATATAAAGCATAGCTTGCCAAGTATAAAAACAAAAGTACCTCAGGTATCCAGTATTGTTTGAGCACCTTTGTGTCACCTCTTTTGAAAACGCTGGGGGGAAATATTAGTATTTATTTTTTATTTTTTTGGATTGCTAAATTATCTGTTTGATTAGTTTACACAAGCTACACTAAGGATCTGCTGGTTACAAATAAACACAATTATAGTTATTGTGATATTTAGTTATCCTAAATAACGTCCTTGGTGTGAATGCCTCTATACTTGAAGGAAACTCATCAAATTATGGGTATTCCTGTTGTAGTATTAATATGTAGAGATGTAATCTTTAATAATACTTTTATCATAGTTTTGGACTTTTGACTAGATTTTGTCTCAGGATGAACATAAACATGAAAGAAAAATTCTAAAAGCAGTTCATGTAAATGGCTTAATCATAATCTTGTTTGCTTTCAAATAATAAACTAGATTACTTGGTTTCATGTAAATGTACCCACTGATTCTCTCCTTCCGTGTGCCACAGGTTCGTGCTCCCATGTTGAACCCCACTCTAGGAGTTCATGAGGCCAGCCTGATGAGTGAAGGAGCCACGCTTGTCAGTTTCATCTATCCTGCTCAGAACCCTGAGCTGATGGACACGTTGTCTCAGCGCAAAGCCACTGTCCTGGCCATGGACCAGGTGCCGCGTGTTACTATTGCTCAGGGTTATGATGCCCTCAGCTCCATGGCCAACATTGCTGGGTAAGTCCTCTGACAATGGTACAAGAATAAAATGCAGTTGACTTTTTATTGTATTTTTTTAAATAATAGAAAGTATTTTCTGTGTTTTGTAAGTTTTTGAAAGGTAAGGTATTGTTGTTGCTATTATTACAAAAAAAATCTATAATGTTGTTTTGTAGTAATTCTAATAATAAAAATAACAAAATAATTTGCATTTATTTTTTAAAGACAGGTCACTACTGGCAAAAATGTTTCTTTTTTTCATGCATGGGCCAGTTTTGTAATTTTAGACTCAAATTCAATGTTACATGCCACCTTTCAAACTAGTGGAAAGAAACATCCAAAATAGAGATTTTTCTGATTACATTTTAAAAATAGCACAAGTAGGACTGTCATGATATCTATTTTTGTAGTACGATATATAGCACAAAATCAATTGCGATAAATGATATTATTGTCATTTTAAGATTTTGACACTATGGCCCAATCCCGGTTCTCTTTAGCTTAAAGGCGTAGGGTCAAGGGAAGGGCTAGATACCCCTTGAAACTTTTCAGGACCACACTCGAAACCAAGGGGTATTAAAATTTCCCAGAATACACCATCTACAATGGCAGCATGGCTACAGACTAAAGTCAGGAGATACACAAATTAGTATTTTTTTGTCATTATTATGAATTTTTTACCACTAACAAATATATGTTTTAATACATTCATAACAGCGTTCATGTTTTATTGTCATGCTTTTTAAAAATAGCTTAAAAAAAGTAAATTTCTCTATCTGTAATCCATTATAACACCTGTATAATACCTGTCTTACAAAATTCTGTCTCTCGGTGACACTTGAATACCCTGTCAGAAAAGTCTAGTGGCTGGTAATGAGTTTTCTACAGTGTCTGCTATGATGTTAATGTTGTTTTCGTGTGTTTACATAGATGAATATGGCCACAATGTAAATGCACAGTACAGTTACGATCTTATTTCCACATTATATCATTATGATAACATATTTGCCTTCAGTGATTTTCTGAAGATAAATACCAGAAAAGAATGCAACTTGAATTACTACAGCAGCTGTTATTTGTCTATCTCATATGAAGCAAGAGATCACGATGACATATAATGACGTGTGCAGGGGTCCGTTCTTCGTACCTCACTTAAATGATCTAAGATTATTTGGCAGATCCTGGATCTTTTAATCTTGATAACTGATCTCTCGCTAATTTGGTTCTTCAAACGGGTTCGCGAATCAGATTAGAATGTCTGGATAAACTGATCTGAGATCGCTGCGTGTGTTGTGAAGGACAGATCTATCGATCCTCGAAATCATGATCAGCAATGCAACGATTGGCTGACGGCACAGCAGCGTAATGACATCATCTGATTAATATTCAATTATCCATGTGAGTAAAATTTCATCAAATTAGCAGTAAACGGCTTGTTAAATATGACACGCAATCAGTGGCGTAGCGCAAAATGCGGAGGCCCCCCTGCAGGGATCGCTGACGGGGCCCCCTGATGAAGGGGGTGGGGGATTAGTCATACGTCAATTTGCATATCACTGACGTCATCACGTTATACCGTTTCTGTTTGTTTAACAGCCTATGGTTAATAAAGGGGTATTTATAATTGCACTACACTTTATATAAGCATGTTTATTTAACTAAATGTATTGCTGTTTGAATACAGTATGTCAGTATAGATGTGTAGTGAATGTGCAGTAATCTCTCATATGTAATAAACTCAGAACAAGTTCAGAAACTGTCACTAAAGTATCTGTGATTGTAAACAAGAAAAGAATAAACGGTCCAATTAAATTGTTAAAATAAAGAAGTACATCGGTTTGACTGTACAAGGGAAATACCTTCACACTGCCTGTGCTAAATCATTTGTCGTCGGTACGCAGAGGGGTGATCTGCTCTCGGGCTGCAGGTGGGAGAGGCTGCTGTAGAGGACTGACTGGGCCGCCTGTCAGTGCTGTGAGGCGGGGGAGGGGCCGGCGGCATCACACGCAACTCGTTTAGAAGAGTAGGGACGGTACAGTATGGAGAAATGACAGTCTAAAAAATCTCCAATAACACACAAAAAAGTCGCTAGATTTGTCGCTAAATCTAGTGACAAAGTCGCTAAGTTTGCAACATTGGCGGCAAGCAATCAGAATGAAGTAGTCCACCGCTTGAGAGGTGTTCAGAGAACACAGACCTGTGAACTTTGGTTCCGACCACAGTTGTTCCCAAGAGTTTGATTATTGCGGTTGCCGGTGGATTTTTAATTATTGAAAATCGCGACGACGCGGGGCCCCCTAATCACGCGGGGCCCCCCCGCGGTGCGTGCCCTGCGGGCCCATCCGCTACGCCACTGAACGCAATAACCTTCCACATTTGTTGTGAGCTGCAGGCTTTCCACTTTCATGTGTCAAGAGTACTCATCATGTATTTCAATGCATATCAGTGTATTTAGTTCCACATTTAGAAAAGATTTTCTTTATTATAGTAGCCGTTTTTTTAATCGATGTAAAGAATAACTGTTTTTTTGCAAAAGCGTTTTTATATTGGTAAAGGCGTCTGCAACTTTTGTGAAGCATCAAATCACCGGTATAACTATCAAAACATGTTAATGACTGCTGAAATGTATTATTGCTTTAAAAAAGTCACATATTGTGCATTTCTATTATACACAATTTGTAAGCGATCTAAAAAGTTCATATCAATAAGTTTTCTCTTTGCACCACCAGGTGGCAATCTTTGTACTTTCATTTCGAGGGTGCAGATTGCATACATTTTATTAATATGTATAACTTAATTTATTTTATTAATGACTATAACTTTATATATATATATAGTTAAAAAATATGTACCATTTTCCCAAGTGTATATAACTACTACTGTAAGAAAATATCAAAATTCGGAACATACTTTCTGTATTATCTTTGCTTGAACTAAGCCGATCTAATCCTGTTTACATGAATTGAACCTGCTCCCGATCAGGTTTGACCTAGCAGAACTGTTGCTATGACAACAACTCTCAGATCAGCTTTTAAGAACGAAACGATCCTGGATCGTGTCAAATCGTCAATATCCAAATCCAGCTAACTGAGTAATCCACGTACGAAGAACAGACCCCAGGTGTTGTAATGGTGTCCCAATTCTTAAATGTAAATTTTGAAGGCCTTCCCCTTAAAACTCTGTTTTAAGGGCCAAGGGGTAGGGGTACAAAAATACAATTGGGATTAAGCCCATAATAGGATCAAACTTTTTGTTTTTCAAAAAACACATTTTATTCTTAAAAATATTCTAATTCTAGTCATTTTAATAATTAGACACTAGGGTTATGCCGATAGATGATAGTATCGTGTATCGACGATGGGCAAAGATATCGCCAAAAGCTGAAACCTATGATGATTTTAAAGACATTTTTTTACTTGTTTTGCATTAATGTATAAATGTTTTAATTGCATTATTGAATAAAATGAATAGTATTATTTAACATCAGCATCAATAATAAATTAACTACAAATAATATGACAGCTTTAGCTGTTCACATCACCTGACTGACACTTTCAGACAAAAATGAATGATTTCGATTGCTCTCTTGCGCTCTCTCTCCGCCTCAGCATCAGCAGTTCAAGCGCGAGCTGCATGTGAGGGCACAGCCACATCGCAGAGCAAATTAGTTTGCAACTTCGTTGCATAAAAATAATAGGCTAAATGACAAAACTGGATTTAATTAACAAACAAGTTAAATAAAATGATTTGTAAAAATGAAACAACCAAAGAAGAAAATGAAAGAACTCATTTCGCTTGAAACCAGCTCAAATGTTCTGGAATGAGACGTGTTGCGATCGTTGATCATTTAAGACTCCTTTATAACAGCACTCCCACATGATTCTCTATTGTTTCACAAAAAGCTGTCTTTTATATGCGTTATTAATAGCCTATTTAAGTTTTAAGAGGACCTATAGCCTATTTTTTCAGTGCATGCATTGACTGCTCTTTCAAATTCACATATACAGTACATACTTGTCTTATTTGTGTTTAATTCGATAGAATGATAAACATGGACATGCACATTTTTTAGAAAATAACATAGACACTGGAATCAGAATGTGAAAACATAAATCCTAAACCAATAAATAATAATAATAAATGTTAACGAAAATGTCCAAGATAAAAAGAGCTTGAGAAAAATGTAACATCTATTTTCATTCGTCAGGCCCCCATATGAAAATATACTATAGTAGTTTATAGTTAATACTATAGTGTTTTTTAAACCAGACAGCTCCATTAGAGATAGGAATGTTGTGTAATCTGCTAAAATGTGATTAGATTGGGTTCTTATGTATGGACGATATATATATTGCATCAACAAAAATGATTGAGACATGTTCACCTGTTGTGCAATAAGTCCATATATTGATTATTGACAGGCTTAGATACAAGCAGATGCTGCTTTTCTCATACATTAAACCAAAAATCTTAAGTTCAGTCACACTTGCAGCAATCTTTCCAGTCTGATCAATATTCTAAAGGTTTTGTTCATTTAGGAGCTTTATGCAACATTTTATTTTAAAGTCATGATCCTTTTTTGACATCTGACAGCATTTACCTATTTATGGAGGAATTACATATATATAAATATATAAATGAATAAATTTGACTATTCTAAATGGATGCAGTTGAACTTTACAGGTCAGTCGGCTGTGGCCAGCTTACCAAAGTCTTAAATGTCATTATTGTAAATAAAATAATATTTGTGGCAAGTGCAACATGTCTTGATTTCTGCCACAGCAGCAGCAGCAACTGATGCACATCTGTTTTTGTTGGCAGCTATAAAGCCGTGGTCCTGGCAGCTAACAACTTTGGCCGCTTCTTCACTGGTCAGATCACAGCCGCAGGGAAGGTTCCTCCTGCTAAGGTATTCGCTGGCAGAACGCGCACACATGCCCTGACTGTTTGCTTTTCAATTTATTTGATTCATTGCCGTACACTTGTCCCATTAGATCTTGGATGAAGATATAAGCACTGTTCATATTTTCCTTAGAAATTAGATTTTTCTGTTGATTTCAGAGGTAGAATTTTTAAAAACGCTGTTCCTATTGGCAGGTGTTGATCATTGGAGGTGGAGTGGCTGGATTGGCTGCTGCTGGATCTGCCCGCGCTATGGGTGCCATTGTCAGAGGATTTGATACCAGGTAAAAAGTAGTTTAAACTACAATTTAATGGGTAGATTTGCTGCTGGTGTATTTCCCCCTAAGTAAAGAACTTTTATTTAATTCCACATGCATTTAATTGACCAAGTTACTGTAAAAAAAAAACATTTTGTTACTAGTAGGGGTGTGATGGGATCTCTAATTGCATAATCAATCTCCGTAATCAAACTATTACCGCCATGTAGAACATTTTAAAGCATTTTGTGGCAGGATAGTCTATATAAACAGCTGTTTGACACTATTCTCTGCACCTGACGGGTCAGTAAAGCACCACAGACATGCACATCTCCTCCGAGTACACACACACACATTGTCATTTTTGCCATCTGGAACAGAAGTTTTCTTTTCATTCAGCGTGTGGTATCAAATTCCATTAAAACAGCTCTCCCCTATCAGTCGATACTCGCATCCAGTAGCTCAGAGTTTGTCTAGTGAGTAGAGTTTATCGCAAAATATTTTGCAGTGTTTACATGTTCTTTACGGCCCAATTCATTAAAATAGAAGTAAAATAACCTTCATTACAATTTTATATAAAAAAGCACCTAAATTGTTTAGTATTTTGTATTTTTTTTAGCTTGTTGTTATTATTATTAATTTATTTTTTCCAGTTGAATAAAAATCTATTTTCCATTCATATATTTTGCTAATTTAAAATGATATAAAAACAAAATTTTCCATTTAAATTCCATTTAAATTTAAATAAATGTTTAGCAGTGTTTGCATGTCCTTTACAGCATGGAGTTCATTAAAATAGAAGTAAAATAACATTAATTGCAAGTTGATTAAAAAAAAGCACCTCAACAGTTTTGCATTTATTTTTTTTCTTCGATTGAATAATAGACTTTTCTTTCATATATTTCATCGAGAATCCCCCAAAGATAGTACAGAAATCTTGTTTCGTCTTGTTCTCGTGGACCCGATCTCATGTCTCATCTTGTCACACCTGTAGTTATTGTACTAGTGCTGTTAAGCAAATAAATAATCTAGTTGGTTTACTGGTAAATTCAAATGAATGGTACGTTAAATAAAAAATGAAAAAATTAATTTCATTCACAGTACACAGTACCCTCAATATTTAAATCCATTATTGAGAAAATTACAATGAGATGAGCATCAAAAACATCACATGTTCTTTTTTCAACATAACATTTATTACACATGATTACATTTTTATATTTATTTTTTATTCAGTTATGGTCAAATGTAACCGAGTTCTTTGTTTTGTGAAACTTGAGTGAACTATTACTTTTTTATTTTATTAATATTACTCTATTTATGAAACTAAAACTGCCAATAAGTGTCAGTCTTACAATAAATATCTTACAATTTTAGTGGCCTAAATTAGCATTTTGTACTGTTTGTCTTCAGTCAATGGGTGTTTTAAATGAGTGTGTGACACTTTTTCACAAATAACTTATGAATGTGTTAACCTCTCTAGAATGTGTTTCTTGTGTGGCAAAATCAACAGAGTAATAATAATAATAATAATAATAATAATAATAATAATGGATGATTAAAAAATTCAGCTTTATAGTAATTAAATAATTTGTAAAATGCATTAAACTAGACATTTATTTTAAGTTAAGTTGAATTTAAAAAATGCAAGTTCAGTATTGGAAAGCATAAAAGACTTTCAATTTATTTCTTACTTCAGATATAGAAACGCTGGGTTTATTTAAATCGTATACCTTTTGTCATATTTAGATGTTTCAGAAACGTTCCTTTCAGGGCTCTAGAGTACAACCAAATTTCTCAATGGTGTAACCAAAGAAAATCTGAGATCACACCAGTGCGACCAGCCATCTGAGGGCAAAAAATTAATAAATCAAAAATGTCTCTGTGACTGTGGTTCAACAGACATTTGTTAGATTCATGTCAAGGTTTAAGCCGATCAGAGAAAGTAAAGTGCGGCAGTAAGTTAACTTTACATCATTTACAAGTCAATATTGCCTGTATATATGTTGATTTACGGGGGATAAAGTGTTATGTGTGATGCGGTCAAATTTTTGTCCACCTAACCTTTGTCCTGGTGCACCGAAGAAAGTCAGGCAACCAGTGCAAAAAGTTAGCCTATAGCCCTGCCTTTTGTGATTGTAACGCAGTACAGGTATTTTGTTCAAAATGCATTGAATATGGCATGAGGTGTATCAATTTCATCAGTTTCTGGTGGTAGGGGGTGCTTTATCCACAGATCCATGTTGCTTCTTCATCTGCCAACTTTTAATGCTATTTTTTTCCTTCCAGTGTGCTACTTTTTTGACCCGGATGATTTCTGCTTGCATCAAAACTTTCAGGGTGTTTTGTTTTTTCCTCTCCGCTTTTAACCTACCAGCACATCTGTTATTTCCCTTTTTTGTCAGTATTTATAAATGAGTATTGAGTCATTGTTCTGCTTAACTTTGGATTCACAATGTTTGTTTAATCTGCAAGTTTTTTTCAATGATTTCCCAAAAACAAAACCATAAAAAGATCTTGCGCAAGAAAAAAAACTGCTAATCTTGCCAAATTGTATAAAATATGTAGTTTAAAAAGCTGTATTTTACTAAAATAGTAAAAGTCGAGTTTACAGTGTTTATTCAGAATGTTTATAGAGTGTTTATACATATTTTCACTTTTTTTTAACCATGATTCACCGATTCCTGAAAGCCACATGAGCCTGAGTTTTAGCAAATGTCCTCTTGATGGCAGTGTTGTGTTGGTCACAGAGTCTATCTTCTTATTTCAGAGCGGCTGCACTGGAGCAGTTTAAGTCCCTGGGCGCTGAACCTCTTGAGGTGGATATTAAGGAGTCAGGAGAAGGTCAGGGTGGTTACGCTAAGGAGATGTCCAAGGAGTTCATCGAGGCAGAGATGAAGCTGTTTGCCAAGCAGTGTTTGGATGTTGACATCATTATCACTACCGCGCTCATCCCCGGTACGCACACCTGCACTTTTCACTCCCTTTCCGTCTAGCATTTCTGCAGTTTTTCCATCACTTGCCCTTTGCAGTGTGCTGGGGCTTGCAGATATTAAGTGATGTGCTGTTTGCTTATGCTCTTATTTTTCCATCGTTTGACTTTTAAAGGATTAACACACCCAGGAGTTGACGTTTTACTCTTTACTCAGGCTTATGTTTTAAAAAAAACACATGCTAATATTTTTCTGTAAAACACACAAATTCATTGTATATTTTTCTAAGATTTTTTTTTTTTGATGCGCAGAAGGTCTAAAATACTATCAAATGCTTATGAAGTCTTAGAGTTTTATGAAGCTGTAAAAGACTGTTTTTAAAAAGTCATCATTTATGTATTCCTTTCAGTGAAGGTAAGTGTTGTAATTGTAAAAAAGGAGTTATTTTGTAAGTCAAACATATTTACAATATCGTAATTACTAGATATGCACTGTAATAAAAAATCTGGTATGAAGCCAAAAATGCTGGATGCTCTTGACAAAAAAAAAATTAAAAATGCTTTATATTATTTAAGAAAATATTAAATAATAATTATTACAAAGTGTTTTGTTAGAATTTTTAAATTTAACTTTTTAAATTTAGACTTTTAAATTAAAATTTAACTTAAATTATACTAACATTTTAAAAAATACAAGCCAATAAATTAACCTTGTTTTATTGACAGTAACACGTGTAATTTTAAGTATGGGATAACATTACTGTTAGTTTTCAGGAAACATATTGATACTATGCCAGTAGATGTGCTGCTGTAATTGCTGCAAAAGGTAAACATACCTAATATTACAGTTCTGTTGTTTTATCAGCATTGCTATAACAGCATAATAGCACCTTTGCAAACAGCAAGATCAATTACACTACATAGAAATATCCTGCTGGTGCATTATTTAAGATGACTTGGAGGAAATGCATAGATATATGTGCAGGTACATGAGAAGAATATCAAGCTATTGTGAATGTAGACTGCGGTAAGCACAAACTGGTTGCAGGTGCGTTGTGCTGCTCTTGTACTTTGGTCGTCACAGCAACAAACTTTGCTGGAAACTGTCGGGCAGTTTGCGCTCATATTTCCACCCATTTGTATCTAATGGTGACAGAGTGGTACAGTACGGTACGGGTCACCTTTATCAGGCTTGCATTTTTACTGACAAAAGGGTACCAATGGTTTGTTCATGTTTTAAAGAATCTGAAAAGATCATTTGCTGAAAGAATCCTTTGCTTATTTGTTTTTTTCCAAGCTTCTTTGTTTTTTCGCTCTTCACTCTCACGTTTGTCCATTTCTGAAAGAATCGAATGTCATAAGCACTTCATTAATCACTCGCACGTTATTATCATCATGCTCAAGCAGCTCGGTATTTCATATATAGATGTACAGTAAAAACGGTGGTTGCTTTTTATTCTTCTACCTTGTGCACAAGCTAGTGATGCATCTCTGTAAACCATTCAGCTGCGCATCTTGCTCTGCCTTTAGGTTCTCTAATGTTGTGCTAGGTACCCTTCTGAAAGGGTACCCAAAAAGTCGTATGGTAAGGTTTAGTCATACACTATTTGTAAACTCAAAATGAAGAGAATCGTGTCCAAATTTCGTGACCGTGATGAAATTCATTCGAATATTAGTTTGAATAATGACCCTATAATTCAGATTATTGGCATAAAAATGCAGCTGTATGGATTTATATTTTTGATATTAGAAAAACCAAAAAGATTTGATTTAGTAACAACACACAAGCAATAGTGCAGTTTTATTAAAAATAAGCATCTAAACATGGCCTTTTATAATAAATCATTTTAGTTTCAAGTAAACCCAGAGCTTGTGCTTCTCAGAGTAACATGGTGTTTTATTTATAGATTGATCTGTTTTTGAATGAATCAATTGAGTTAATGAATCAATGATCCGTTCTTGAGAACAGTCACTTGCATTGTTTGTAAATTAAACATTTTGAATGAATTGTTGAAATAATTGAGACAATGAGATCCTTTAATTCTTCTTTTAACTCTGATCCTGGTTTATTTCCTAATCCTAAAGTTAATACTTGTATGGCTTTCGCTGGCATTTGAAAAGAGAAACCGATTACCAGGCATAACTAATTATATAGGGAATAATTACCAATTTAACAGCTCTGTGGCTGCAGATGTGCTTCATGTTTATTTGAAACATGTTTTGTCCTAATCTCCATAACCAAGATCTAATAAAAATCAGGCAGTGTCCATAGCAGAGCATGTTTACAAAGTTTTTGTGAGTGTCATAAAGAGTTTCTTTGGGTCGCTCTGGCTTTAGATTGGCAGAATGCTGTCTTTCCACTCGCTGTTGCTTTTTCAGGACCTGCTGGCACTCCAAAATCAGTTCCTGAGACTTTTTGCATGCTCATGCACACTCCAGTGTTATTTCATTTCCATCCCTCAAGCTACTGAGCCACCGGTTGGACTTTTCGTACTTAATTCCTACACAAACTGCATACCTGGCAGTTTTAAGCATGCTTGGATTGGTAAAACCCATTCAGTCTGTTTCTCTTTTATCAACATTTTTCTTTTAAAACCAACAAGCCGCAAAGCTCCTTATCTGTATATTAGGTTGCAGGGATAAAAGGCACATCAGAGGAGTCTTATTAAATGCATATCAGTCATGGTTTTGGTTTAGCAGTCTCACTGTGCTGAAATTATGCAGGTCGGAAGGCCCCTGTGCTGATTACTAAGGAAATGGTGGAGACCATGAAAGACGGTTCAGTGGTGGTGGATCTGGCTGCAGAGGCAGGGGGAAACATCGAGACCACGGTTCCTGGAGAACTGTCTGTTCACAAAGTGAGTTCACTACAGCTTGACCATTTGGGATCAAAGATTTTTGCAAACACCCCTTACACTTTGTGTCCTTTCCCAAACCGTATGCATTAAATCAAACGGTCTACATGAGTCTGTAATGGACAAACATATCTCTATTTGACTTATATTTAATTTTTACACTTGCTCTGCCATCAATTTCTTTACCAGCATCATTTCTTATAATAACTACCCAAAACTAATTTAAAAGTTGACTTTAAAAAAAAAAAAATTATTCCAGTTTACAGACTGCCACTGTTTTTTGAGTGGGGAAAAAAAAAAAAAAAATTTTTTATATATATATATATATATATATATATTATTTTCCATACAAGTACTTTTTATTATTAACATTGCACTGTAATATTTTTGCATATATAATTTACAAATTTCATGTTTTAAAGCCTTGACAACTATATGGAAGCCTGTTATAAAACAATGTGCTCAAATTTGACTTTGTTCAAAAATGGAACAAGTATCAAATACTGTAGTTTTTTTTTGCACTGTCTTTATCAGTCACTACTGATTTTAGAAGCTTTTAAGATGTACCACAAAATCAAAACCAAACATACAAAGCATAAAATAATTTTAAAAAATGAAAAAAATTACTGAAAAGTAAAAAAATTGTTTTATATAAATGTGTATATATATACAAATATACAAGTAAATGCATGTACATGCACATCCACTATAAAGGGACATCACAAGGCATCAACAGGATATCAATAGCGGGTGATACAGGTTATACAGAGAAAACATTTGAATCCGCTTCCTTCAGGTAACCTACAAAAGATTTGAACAACTTTTCAGATTTTCTATAGAAGTTATATATACTATACAAGTACATTTTTCTAAAGCCAAACAATAATACAATTCCCGCAACCATTGTCTAAAATGAGGCCTTTCTGTGTTTTCCAAAAATGAGCTATTAGAAGTTTTGCATGTAATAAACAAAGATAACAATTTCTTATCTGAACTAGTAAAAGTGCTTGTAACAGGAAAATATTTGAAATACAAAGTTTTGGACATTTGGATATGTTTTTATATTGCATAGTTTTAATACTGTGGATAAAAACTTCACTTCCACAAAGGAGACTTCCATAAACAATGGTATAAAGTTCCTATCTCTTTATTGCATTTTATGCATTGATCAGCACAGGAGTATTTAGATTGAATTTGTAAAGCAATTCTTGAGTTATGTTAACTCTCATATTCCATTTAATTTGCAGATGTTTAAACCGTGTATTAATTGTCTGCGTTTGTGCCTTCAGACAGACTCTCTGCCATTGAAATACTGTAGTATTAACAGGTTTCAGCGGCAGCATTTTTATCCTGAATCTCAAGAGTGTAACTTTTTTATGTCTAATGTAAAATTGATTCATAAAAGGAATTCAACTGAGAAAAATGCCTATAAGAATGCATAAGGCTTCATATTTTATTTATCAATACAATATTTAAGTATTAGACATCAAAGAAAGGAGCTGGCAAGTAGAAGATATTTTAGTATAGGTCACCTTTCAAGAAGTAACTCTACAAGTTTGATATTGCAGTTGGCAATATAAGACTAAGCATTACATTTTTCTGTAAAAGCAATGCCATTTATCGTAAGAGAAACCTCTTTCAGAAGCAGAAGAACAATAGTGTATAGTCGTGTTTGTTTGACTAAAATGTTGTTGTGTTCTTTGCTCTAGGGTGTGATTCACGTCGGCTATACTGATATTCCCAGTCGTCTCCCGACTCAAGCCAGCACTTTATACTCTAACAACATCACTAAACTTATCCGCGCCATCAGCCCAGACAAGGAAACTTTCTACTTTGATGTGAAAAACGAGTTTGATTTTGGCACGATGGACCATGTCATCCGAGGTTCAGTCGTTATGCAGGTAAACCTTTTTTATTTATGATATTGTTTTATATTTTAGGATGACATTTTGTGTTTGAAGTTTTCATGTTAAAATGGTAGAACCTTGCTTTCATGTGCATGCATCATTAAACTTTATCAGCAAAATCTAGGAGTTATATGGCTGTCCCAGGGCAATAGTTTATTTCTTTCTTTTTAAATGAAATATTTTTTTAGCAGGCAAAACAGGTGAATAACATAATAATAATATTTTATATTCAGAAACTATGTAAAATGGGCTACTAGTAGATGATGAAATCAAACATGACAATGCTAGTATGAATTTTTAATTTCTCTGATCAATTTTTCAAATTTGATCGGTTTTAGAACGAAAAAGGAAAGTAAAATACAACCATGTAAAAGAGACGTTTTCACTATTTTCAGTTTAAACAGCAAGCCTTAAATTTTAAGCTTAAATTATAGTCAAGGCAGCTGCAAAGCTTGTTGATTCTTAAGTAAAAGAAAAAAATGGTCTAAAATGGTTCAGATTTTTCTGGGCAGATTTAAGAGAAATTATCTTCGTAAAATACATTTTAGTCATCTTTTTTTTCATAAAAAGGTCACGCTTTACAATAAGGTTCATTAGCTAATATATTTACTAACATGAACTAATTATGAACAATACTTGTACAGTATTTATTAATCATAGTTCGGCATTTAATAATGCCTTCTTAACATCCAAATTCATGCTTGTTAACATTAGTTAATGCACCATGAATTAACATAAACTAACAATGAAAAACTGTATTTTCATTAACTAACAGGAATAAATACTGTAGTAATGCAATGTTCACTGTTCAGTAAATACATTAACCAACATTAACTAATACAACCCTATTGTGAAGTGTTACCCATGAAAAATCTTACATGTTGATTTTTGTGGGAACAATTAGGTATTGACTGATCACTGAACATTGATGAACATTTTATGTCAGAGTTGGGTAACAAAATTAAGCAGACTCATCTCGGCATTGACAACGATCAACATCAAACTTTTTTTAATTTGAGACTGCGCAAAGTTTCTTCAGTTCTTCAGTTTCTTTAATTTTATTTGGGGTCTACGCACCTATTGGACTGTTTTAAGGCACGGAGAATCTTCGTTTGCTTCTTAAAAAACAAATTTATTCGTTTTAGATTTTGTTAATTAAGTTGTAAACTAGTCTAATCTCTGTGTATACATTAATACTTAACACCTACACGACTCTGGCCTGCATAAAGTGACATTTTCTCCAAACTGACCATCAACTTAAATGAGTTTGACACCCCTTTAGTTTAAAGGGTGTGAGCCGTTTTTAATTTATGACTCAATATCACTCTGGCGCTCATTGAGCTTTCAAGGAGTTGAGTGCTGGTGTTATTTGAATTCTGGCTCTCTCTGTCTGTCTACAGGATGGAAAAGTGCTTTTCCCTGCACCGCAACCTCAGAACGTACCGGTGGCAGCCCCTCCAAAACAAAAGACTGTCCAGGAGCTGCAGAAGGAAAAAGCATCTGCCGTCTCACCCTTCAGAGCCACCCTCACCACGGCTGGGGTTTATACCGGAGGTAAAACACACTCCATGCCTTCCTCTTCCCACCGGATCTCTCTGGCTCCCTCGGGGTTAATATGAAAGCAGCTCCCCATCATTTCTTTTTTTTTAAAGAGAAAAAGGCCGCTGCATTGGTGGTCTCTGACATTGAACTATGCTAATAAGGCTGTCGTGTACATTTAAAACGGCCTCTCTTTTATTGCCTTTGAGATTAATCCGATTTTTATTTTCCCTCCTTTTATCCACTTTAGCGATCTTGCATTGCTCAGAAATTCCAAAAATAGCAGCTCCCCTCTTTGGCCTGCTTTGTCCTAAGATGTGATTAGACTCTAAAAAAGCCCTGCTAAACCAAACGGCGCACAAATGAATTCTATTGGTTGCAGACGCTTGAGGAACACTTGTGTGAGGAAAGGCAATGTTGGCTTCTCTTCAAAGAGCTCACTTCCTCACTCAGACCAGCCGCAAATACAATTCGCACGTAAATAAACACCGGCTGATAAACAAACATGCAAATGAGATCTTCCTGCCCTTTCATGGTTTGCTGTCTCTGTACGGGCTTTGGAATGGGGAATCCTGTCTTTTGCTCAGAAGGCCGAAATCGCTGCCTTTTGAAATCTGTGATTGGTCACCTAATTGCAGCACAAGTTGTTTTATTTTCCACATCACCTGGGCTTGTTCTGACATCTGAATGCCAGGAAACTGAGATGATAAAGTGCCGGTTGTGTTGCGCTCCTTTTTTTTTTTTCTCCCCCCTCTTCCTCCTGCTGTGTATGTCTGTTGCGGTGAAGTGGTTTGCTTACCCACATGGCCAACGGCTGTAAGCGGTCAATAACCAAATGCTGCTCAATGTCAGTGGAAAGATAATAGTAGTAATAATATTTAAATTGTATTAATTGATTTATTCTTTATTATAATTATTTTCTTATTATAAATGTACTGTAATTTACTATGAAATAGTCCTAACTATGGAAGTAGTTAGTAATATATTTTATTGCATTAATGTATATTTATAAAAGCTTAAATGTAGTAGCTGAAAGTAAAATACATTTAAATAAACATTTATTTATTTGAAACTACCAGAGCTTATATAGGGAGTATTAATTTAAAAAAAATAATAAAATAAAAAAAATGCTAATGGATGAAAATAAAGGTTCAAATAATTAATATTTTATTTCATTTTTCAGAAAGAAATTCAATATTAGCATTGGAGTAGCAAGTGTGTCCAGTTTAGAAAACATTGTGGTATGAGATGTTTGACATGTTGTTATTTCTCCTCAGGTCTGGGTACAGCGATTGGTCTTGGACTATGTGCTCCCAATGCTGCTTTCACTCAGATGGTAACAACCTTTGGCCTGGCAGGAATTGTGGGATACCACACCGTATGGGGCGTCACTCCTGCTCTTCATTCTCCACTTATGTCTGTTACAAATGCAATTTCTGGTAAGTTCGTCAATGAAGTGTATCGCCGTGCCACATTTTCTAATATATTAAAAGTATCTACTAGTTTTCTTATTAGTTACATTTACAATATGGTGTGAAAGGAAGCTTAAATCACTAGAATTGTATTTTTTGAAAGGGTAGTTCACCCAGGATATTTATTAGAATTTTATCCTAAATTTTTTTGTTAAACCTCTGTCAGTTACTTTCTTTTGTTGAACACAATATGAGGTTTTGAAGAATGTTTTGAAACTGGTTATATATAGGGTGATTCAAAGAGAATACCACAACTTTCGGGTTGATGTTACTTGTGTCTGGACGGGGTCATATTGAACATCTATGAACTTTTTTTCTACTGAAAAAAGCCTTCATTGATTAATTCCAAGATGCCATCATGTTTCTTTGACTAAATAAGTTTTGACTAAATAGATTTATATATATATATATATCCAACTCTTAAAATTTAAAATCACTTGTGGATAAGTAAATAGCGAAGGGGGAACAATATCGATCTAATTATTTATTTAACTATCATCTCTTTAGCTTGTTGCAAAAAATCAGGTTTATTACACTGAGAATAACTGTAACTGAATCTGTAACCATGCAGTTATAATCAGTTAAAAAAGAGAAAGAAAAAAAAAAAGAGTATAAAAATGAATACAATAAAATTAATATAGTACATTTTAAGTAATTAATTATAACTAAATTGCTATAAATTCAAGTTAAAAGACTAATGTAATTTATCTTAATGTAATTTATTTTTTACTTTTAACATTGAGTATATTTTGCACTGTCACAGGGTCTTATTTCATCTCAAGTACAGGTCATCAAAGCGTTTGGTTTTCTTCATTTGAGTTTGCCCTTTAGCTGCAGGGGGCTCTCAAGTAGGTGTGAATTACCCACTTCCTTTAATGGTCAGAAAAAGTCACCTAATTTTTCTTCTTGCCACCAATGACTTAGCGCCGGTGATGGCCTGACATGGCCCACCCGTTAAGCAGCAAATTCAGCTCTTCATTAGTCTAGACTTGAGGTCCTCACAGGGCCACATCATCATCAGCCAGGCACATTAAGGATGCTTCTGTGCTTCATTAAGCTTTTATTCATCTCTCGCAGCAGGCTGAGAAACCAGGAAAGGTTCATTGTTTTTAACGAAGTTCTTGGTGGTCTGCATTAAAAAGTCCTTTATGTCAAAAGAGCCATAAACTTCACATCGAGAGTGTTAGGAATCAACCAAAGCAGTTAGTTTCCCTTGACCTACTGCACACTTCCTGTGAATTACTTTATTGGTCTTTTAGAGACAGTCCCTTTTTTATTTGCTATGTAAGGGATAAATAGGGATAAAAAAAAAAAACTGTCAGCCCACTGACAGTTGCTATGCCAGAATAAAGCCCGACAGGAAAGCGAATGCGTCTTGTATGAGACTGAAGGGCTTAATTCTGTAAAAGCAATTGCCTGAATGTACTTTACCCCATTTATTACACGACCACTTGCTACAATATGTAAAAATTGGACCCAAAACTTTGTTCTGAGCTCTAAGAGTTTATAAGTTCTTTAATCAAAGGCAAATCTGAGAAATGAAAATGGCTAAATGGAGTATACACTAACCTACGTATTATTCAGTCACCAAGATGGCACCAAGCAGTCAAAAATGGCGGCAGAGACTGACAATGGTATATAAGGATGTAAGCATCTTTAATGTTGGTCAAGATGATTCTAAGTACCCTGATGAACCCGTGTTATTTAGTGGTTGTCATCTCTGAATAACGTAACTTGGAATGTCATGACTGACCAATCAGATTCAAGTATTTCAGACAGCCACATGAGCCATGTTCCATATTTGACACTGAAATTGAACTGTGTAAACGTGAGTAAGCAGGAATTTGGATTTATTTCAGCACCAGACGTAATGAAGCTCTCCAAAAGTGAGCGAGACGTGAAGCCACTAATGTGGAATTTCTCATTCTCATTGAAAGTGTTGAAGTGTAAAGTTACTCTTTTTGCTCCTGGTGGCTTAGAGTTCATCTCTCGCTCTTTAATCTACCTGAAACTGGTGAATCAGAATGACGCCTCATCTCCTGAAATGACCGTTTGTACATCATCTGATCTTCACGGAATGATCCCAGGCTATGAGATTAGGTTTTTTGGGTCCATTCTGGTCACATGCTCATGAGCTAACGAATGTGTAATTTCTTTAAAATGACCCTTCTTTCCAAATACCTCATCGCTTTTATTCTCTGTGATCACAGAAAGGCCGAAATATTATCCAGTAATCCATTTGCGCGTTTTTAGGCAAGCTCTGACATCTTTCATTTCCATCCAAGGGTTTTATTTTACTGATATCCAGAGCTCTGGATGCGTGTGTGGCGGTTCGTGCCTGCGTCGGTTTACAAATGGTCTGTTGCGTTTCCTGCAGTGTTGTGGTAGCGTGATCTTGGCCCGCGAGCTGGTCTGTGATCAATTGTTGCTTTGGAATTACAAAGTGAGAGGAAATGCTTACCAACAGTTACACACTTCATTGACTTAAGATAGCGCTAACTAACAGGGCCACCTCAGGTTGGGTCAGTCGAGTGGATGCCGCGGAAGCATTTGAAAACGATTATAGAGGTGATGGTTATCAGATTACCCTCAGGGATGCCAGTGTTGTCCTCGTTAATTCCCCATCAGAATGAGTTACAAACAACTTGTTTTGAGCGCTGAGAGTGCTGTACTTCTGTACATGTGATGTCAGCCGTCTGGTGGAGTTAGGAAATGACAGGAGCTGTTGTTTTGGGACTTGTTTTCATTGCTTAAAATAGTCAGCACTAACCGTTTAGGAGTAAATCTGGAAACGGATTCCATGAAATCTGCCAAATTGTCGAGATGTTTATCGGTTTATGCTTAATTAGTCACTATTACTCAGCAACAGCATCTGGCTCAATTTTAGCTTATTGTCCTCCTGTGGACTTTTTATGTTTGGGTAACAAAAATGTCCTTTTAGTGTTTGAAATGAAATCTTAAAAATATTTAAGTGTATAGCAATGTAGGTCGATTCTTAAACATGCCAAATAAACCACCAAATTAAAATATCTGTACACGTCGTAATTGCCAATGGAAAAGCAAAAAAAGTCTAGTGTCAAAACAGGACAAACTACAATGTTTGTGTGTATATTAACAACTTTTTACAGTACATTAAAATACTTCATTTTTAAAATGGTTGGAAAGAAGGTCTCTGGTCCGAGTCCTGGCTTGGCCAGTTGGCATTTCTGTGTTGAGTTTGCATGTTCTCCTCTTGTTGGTTTTCTCCCGGTGCTCCGGTTTCCTCCACAGTCCAAAGACATGTGCTGTAAGTGAATTGGATAAACAAAATTGGCCGTTGTGTATGAATGTGAGAATGTATTGATATTTCCCAATATTGGGTTGTAGTTGGAAGGGGATCCGCTGCATAAAACATGCCAGATTAGTTGGCAGTTTATTCCGCTTTGGTAACCCATGATAAATAAGGCACTAAGCCACAGTAAAAATGATTGAATGAATGAAAATGGTTGGAAAATAGCTTTTTAAAAATACTTTGAAAATATATATGTAGTTTTTCTAAGTACATCAACACTTTTTATTATTTTAAGTAAAAACATTTTACATAAATGTATTTTAAAAAATTCTTACATTTTTAATTGCAAAAGAATATGTTTAAAAACTTAAAGTAAACATTTTAAATGTATTAATAGTATACAAGTCATATAGCATTTCAAAAATATATAATTAAATATACAATATAAAAAGAAAAAAAGAATATAAATATAAATTTTCTGCAATTTAAATAGTTGTGATTTTTGTCAAGTGTCAATTTTTAAAAACTGATTCATACAACATATATTGAGATTTAATAAATTTAAAATAGTATATGTGCATGGAACATTATCTTTAATTGATATTATATTTTTTGCATAAAAAAAATCAACCATTTTGACCTGCTGAATGTAATTTTTAAAGGTTATTTGTTAGCACAGTATTTTTAAACAGTCCCTCTTCTGCCGTCCAAATCCATGCCTCCTGAAATCACGAACACGCACCTTAAAGACACTACAACCCACTAGACTAGTCCATGTCATTTGCCAGTTAGAAAACTTTATAGTACTTTATAATACTATAATTCTGAACCAAAAACTGTATTATATCTAGCACATTTCAGTTGTGTAGTTATCAAGCAAAACTTGTCATAATGTGCAATATTTCATGCAAGTATCGCTGGTTTCTCTCACGCGCTCTGTCCTAAAGCGACTACTGTATGCTTAGTGGCTGGCTTGTGAGGTGCAGGATTTACACTTATTACTAAGCCATACTTGCATGCTATTTCAGACCGAATATTCAAAGTAGCATGGTAAACAGTATAGGGAGCGTGTCACAGGTTGTCATTGTTCAAAAATGAACCAATGTTAATATAAAACCAACTTCAGCTCAGTAAAGCTGGCTAGGCAGAACAGCGCTATTTAATGATGTTTTGTTGTTAAACTAAAAAAGAAAATATACATTATCGATGCTGTAAATGGTACTTTATGAAACTGAAAATAATCACATCAATCTTTGGCTGGAAGATTTCAGTGGCTAAACAACATGTCCATGCATCTAACTCATTCCTAACAACAAAATCTGCATCAGCTTTGCATGACAAATACTATTAAAACATAACATTACCTGTCTTAAAGAAATACTTCAGCCATGGTGTTATGCATCCTCCAGAGTGCAAAAGTATTTCCTATATTGATTCAGGATTTTCAAAAGTTTTGATTCAGCATTTGTGTTTACCGCTGTCACGCTTGAGTCCATGTGCAAACAGTGGATCTGCGTGAATGGGTGTGCAGATATACAAATCTCTTTTTGTTGACAGACAGTTTGGGCTACTTATCAGAATTAGGGGAAATGTTGTCCTGACAATATTTTTTTAGATGAACATTTTTAGGTCTTACACCTTACCAAAAATATAAAAATGCATCAAAATTTAGATCATTTACTTTAATCATTACTATTGAAATGTGAAGAGACTTTCAACTAGCACAATGAAATTGTTTCTGAAGACAATCACCTACTGCACCTTTAACTTTTTGTGGTCCACGGTCACATTTGATTTTCAATGCGCTTCCTTATTTCTCTAGTTTGTGATAACATGGATGCTGTGTGTTTTTAGGTTTGACAGCTGTTGGTGGTCTATCCCTCATGGGTGGTGGCTATCTCCCCAGCAGCACAGCCGAGACTCTGGCCGTTCTCGCTGCTTTCATCTCCTCTGTCAACATCGCCGGTGAGTGCACCCAGTACACAATTACTGTTACAATTACGTAATACGGTTACGATAACCTGCCAACAGTGAAATGAAAGACAATTCTTCACCACTAAAACGCCAGTGTCTAAAAGTCGAAGTATGATTCGCTGCCCTCTGGCTGCCCTGCATCTTGTGCTCATGAGAAAATTGCCGTCCAGGTGGAATAGTTTAGTCCGTCAAACCTCACACCTGAAGCAGGAAATGTCAGCACGGCAGTTTTGCTTCAAAGAGCCTCGGCCATGTCATAAATCAGCCTCCGCTCAAACCCAACCAACGGAGCCATTAAGCAAGAAGAAAAAAAATGGCTTCAAGTGGGCAGGTAGCCAAAATGCCATCCCGAATCCAGCCACTCTTTCATCCGAGACGCCAATCCAGGTCATAGGGTGTGTTGGTGATTTAATGGCAAGCTGCTAGGCTACTTTTACTGACATTTTTCATCATGCCACAATAACAACTTTTTGATACGCACTGCAAGGCACATAAAGTGTCTGAATTTATATATTTATCTTCTCAGAAAGCAGGTGTTTAATTTCAGGTGTATTTTTTTCTGTTATTTCCATTCCTAATATGCAGTATTTCATTCCTCAGTTCCATTAAAACCTTTTGGTAGTTAGAAATATGAACATTCTGCTCGCTTTTTCCTCTCATCTTTTTTTTGTGCTCTTTTTATTGTTACAAGTGCATGGAGGGGAAAAAATAACAATTGCTCTTTCCAATTTAATTTCAATAAAAGACGAGGAATTTATGGTGAACCTGCTCCATTAATGACGGGAATGAAAACATATTTTATTCTTGGGTCCCGGCTGTAATGTCTGAATATCCTTCAGGTTTAATTGTGGGAAAATGAAACATTCTTTTTTATGGTGTATATGTTGTTTGACCGTCTGAGTGCATTTGCTTCTAAGTCGAAATAGTTCACCTGGATCCTCACAGGAACGGGTCACTAAGGTTTGAGTGAAACTGGATATCCATCTGAGTATTAAATGAAAAGCTTTGGTTTGGTAATCGTCCTGGTAAGTTGCTTTGCTAGGCCCAGCGTAAGCCAGGAAAATGAATGTAAATGCAATCACACGGCAGTTTAAAAATACTTCACTAATGAGCAGCAGATGAAAGTCTCCTGTCATTCCTCATGGCATCTGCTACTCAATTACAACATTTACAACCAAATGACTTGACGTTTACATGTCTTTCTTTCTTTCTTTCTTTCTTTCTTTCTTTCTTTCTTTGCTTTTTCCTTTCTACCTTTCTTTCTTTTTCGTTCGTTCCTTCTTTCCTTCCTTCCTTCCTTCTTTTCTTCCTTCCTTTTATGAGTGTGAAATGGGTCAAGTTTTAATTGCTATAAATGAGTATTCATTCTGATTTGTGCCATTTAAGTACAAATTTAAAGGTGCCTTAAAGTGCTTTAAAATGTGCATTTTTATTCTGTTTTGGCGTAATCTCAAACGAAACACAGAGAGAGTGGGACAGTATAGCTCCTCCCCTTTAAAAAAGCCAATAGCATTTAGTTTTATCCCTGCATTTTGAAAGGGGTGGGGCATGTTAGACACTAGAGAGCATTTGATTGGGTATGATTTGATAAGGAATTGTAGTATGAGGTGTCACGAGTAAAACCATTGATCTGTTTAGGTGGAAGTGACAAACTAAAAGCTAATATCGAATTTTGTCACTGTTTTGGAGCACACCAGCTTATAGCTATCCTAAAAATTAACAATACAGATACTAACATCTAAATTTTTTATTTTATTTTTTATTTCATTGGACCTTAAAGAAAAACACTGTTTATCCTTATAACAGTTTTTCATCATCACATTCAATATTCATACAATAAAATACAATTTTTATTTGTATGGCAGATTTAAAACAACCATAGTCGACCAAAGTGCTGCACAGACTATAAAAAACAAAGACAAGTCAACACATTTAAAAACAAGGAACAATAAAACACACTGCAAATGGAGAAGATTAACTAAAATAAACATCACATAAACAACATTGCACATCAAGTTAAAAAAAATATGAAATGCTAATAAGAAGAGATAAGAGTAGATTCAAAAATAGAGGCAGTTCTGATGCGCACTATCCAGCAAAGTAAACCCAAGGATCCACAACTTTTTTTAGGTGGGTCTAATAAAAACAAAATAGGTCCGTTGTCTAATATGTAGGAGCACAATCATTAATTATATGTATTTAAGCCACAATTTGTATGTTTTTGTATAATAGTTGAACAGTAAAGCCCTGAAACAATTAAATAAAATAATAATTTTTCTAAAAAAATGACGCCTGGGAGACTCAAAGGAGATCTAAATCCTAATAAATGATGTTAACAGCCCATATAGGTGATACATTTAATGACACCAAGGAATTTACAGTGTGCAGTCTAACAACTTAGAGAAGTGTGTGCACCGGTGAAGATTTGTTTAGAGCATTTTAGAAAAGTCAGAATCTGACCACATGGATATGCCACAAGCTAATCCAACCACTTTAGTTAAAAATCATGTCAACGTTGAAAGCCAACAAGTCTTAATTTTGTTATCATAATATATTAGCTAAAACAGTTGAAAATTAAAGTTGAAATTAACTTTGTGTACTGTGTTTTAACTCTTTGATCAGGTGGTTTCTTGGTCACTCAGAGGATGTTGGACATGTTCAAGCGGCCCACTGATCCTCCAGAGTACAACTACTTGTATCTTCTTCCTACTGGTGTGTTTGTTGGTGGTTATGGAGTTGCTCTTCAAAGCGGTTACAACATTGAACAGGTAAAACGCTGTCACATAAAAGAATAGTCCACCTAAAACTAAAATTGACTTACCATTTACTCTCCCTAATGTGCTTCCAACTGTTAACACTGAACTCAAAAAAATATATTTTGATAAATGTTGGATACTGGTTGCCAATGGCATCTGTAGTAGAGTAAAAAATGAGATTCCAACAGTCTCCAGCTTTTGTTTTTCCCAAATTATCCTTTCTGTTCATCAGAAGAAAGAAATACAAATATGTTTAGACAAGACAGGGTCAGTAAATGATGACAGAATACCTTTGGGGTGTGAACTATGCCTGAAGTTAGCTTAACAGCATGATTTGAGCCAGATTTCACAGTTACTTGGGGTTGAATGTAAATATTTCAATATTGCAAAAATGATAACTTGTAAAGTCCCTTGGAGTAGCATTGAAAACAGTACTACAGATGTGAAATAAATTTTCTATTGAAATTATGATAATACAAGTATTACATAGTTAAAAACTAAACTTTAAATGACCACTGAAAATATTATGCAATTATTTTAACTCGGTCAAAATTTGGTTAAATGATGAATACTCTCAACTGTTTAACAAAATGAAAAGCTGAAATACTCAAATTACTAACACACACATTTTAAACTAAAATTTAAAATTAAATGTCAATATGTCAATTAATAATATCATAGTTTAGAAATGATGCTTAAATAATAATGCTTTATTAAGAGGCACATTTGGTTGAACAAAATATTGAAGATTCTTTGAGACCTGCTAAATACAGCTTTATTGCTACCATGTGAAAAAAAGCTTTTCTAGTGTAAATATAGTTACTCTGTAGCAAAAGAGAACAGGATTTGGGAGGATGTGCATCCTAACTTCCTGTGGTTTTTCTGTCTGGATAACAGATGATGTATTTGGGCTCTGGCCTTTGCTGTGTGGGGGCTCTGGGGGGTCTGTCCACACAGTCTACAGCCCGTCTCGGAAACGCCCTTGGCATGATTGGAGTGGCTGGAGGTATTGCAGCCACTTTTGGAGTGCTGAAACCTTCTCCTGAGCTCATGGCACAGATGAGTGCAGCCATGGCAGTGGGTGGCACTGCTGGTGAGTACATACCTACACTTTTTTTTTTTTTTTTTTTTTTTTAAAGTCAGCGGCCTTTGAACATAATATGTGTATGCAAATAATCTTTGTAATTTCCCTGCAACCCCAGGTAATGGTCATCAGGTCGTGTGAGTCACACAGCACGGTATCGCGCATTGTAGCCAGTCATGTCTAATCTAAATTGCTAATTATTCCTGGAAACCTGCTGGAACTTAGTTTAAAACCGTCCTGAGCAGCCCCAGCTCAAACCAGAAGTCTGCTTCATTCCAGATGGTTGAACCCTGAGGTCTCAGCCCGGCCTAAATATGCCCTGTATGCACACTTCCCCAAACCTGCACTCCAGATTCACATCCACACATGTACACACGCCACTTGAAATCTGACTCATTTACCAGCAGGTCTTAAAGATGCATTAAACGAATGCTGATATTTTTTAAGCACCAAAACAAACATACCCATGTTTCCAACAGGCACTTGTCTCTATTTTAATATATTTGTTCCACTTTGAGCAACCCTGGTGACAGAAATGGTATAGTCTGGATATGATGTCATTAATAAGTGAACGCGACATGTCTTGCTATAGTAATTTATGTGTTTGATGGTAGTTTGTGGTGTATTACTGGTAAACTTTAGCTTTGTATCACATGGAAGACTAAATTTTATTTGAAATATAAAGGCTTGTGCAGATCAGGATGATTTTTGCTCATGCTTATTGCTGATAATTGGAAATAAACTGATAAGTAACTAATATTAAACAACGTGCAAAAAGGCAGACGTAAAGCATTATTTAAAAAATGCCCAAGACTTGTTTCTTTAGTTTGATGCATCATGTTAAAAACTGGTCGACTAATGTGATTTTGTTTGATCCTGTGCATGGAGTTGCTGAAGTGATAGTAAACATGGCTTGGTGGTGCTCAAGTACAAGATGATCTGGGTGAACATGTATTCATAATAAAGATGATGATGCATGGAGGTGAGATGAATGTGGAGCTGCTTGTTTTATTGGTGTCTGAACTTTATGATAAACAGGACTATCAGTTAACAAATACAGCGTGAATGCACACAAACACTGTTTCCTTTTTGTAACAAGCAAATATCAAAAGCGTAAAGTTGTGAAATGGCACCCGGTGTACCAGGGCTTTTCTGTTTAGGCAACAAGGTAACATAGTTGTCTTGGTACAGTAGCAAAGTTTCTTGATTATTACAGTGAAATGAGAGTATAGTTCCTAGCAGTACTGACCTAGAAAAAAAGCAACTTTTCAGTCGGCCTTAATACATGATGTTACTACAAGCATTTAAAATGATCATTAAAACTCTTCTTTAGTGAAATTTTAATGGTCTAGTCCGATTCATTAATTTACAGGAAGCTAAAAATGGCCTGGAAATTGGCTGAATGAATAAAAAAAAGTTGAGTGTTCCATTTATTAATTTTGGACACATTTTGGTAGTGCTGTGTTAAGTGGTGGAAAATGTTTATCATAGCTAAAGTGAGTGACAGAAAGATTGTAAATGAACAAACAAGCAGAGCATAAGATGAGCATCTGCCCAGTTGGTGGAATGAACTCCCTAACTGCATCAGAGCGGCAGAGTCACTCGCTGTCTTCAAAAAGCGACTAAAAACTCAACTATTTAGTCTCCACTTTCCTTACTAATATGCAACTCCCTACAACTAACTAAAAAAAAAAATCTTACATTACTAATGCTTTCTTTCTTAGACTTTACACACCTGAAACTTGGCTACATCGCTTATTCATTGTTGCTCTTATAGTTGTGTAAATTGCTTCCTTGTCCTCATTTGTAAGTCGCTTTGGATAAAAGCGTCTGCTAAAAGACTAAATGTAAATGTAAATGTAGTATATTTAAGGAAAAACCAACACAGACGCAAACAATTTTTCTCATCTCTCAATTAGAACCAAAGCAAATTTGCTATCTATCCCTTTATCTGTAATGGATCTGCTAATTTCCTGTTCTGCTCTAGACACACCTCTTCAGATTGGCAGCAAGTTTGTTTTAAGATTTGTTCTAACACTTTTTCAAATATTGTGAATTAAGCATTAAGCACCTTTAATTTTACTTTGTTTGCTCCACTTTTTAGGTTTGACCATTGCTAAAAAGATCCAGATTTCAGACTTGCCCCAGCTTGTTGCTGCTTTCCACAGTCTGGTGGGTCTGGCCGCTGTCCTCACCTGTGTGGCCGAGTACATGGTGGAGTATCCTCACTTTGCCACCGACCCTGCTGCCAACCTCACTAAGATCGTGGCTTACCTGGGCACCTACATCGGTGGAGTCACATTCAGTGGGTCTCTGGTGGCTTATGGCAAACTGCAAGGTACTGCTTGTTTTGAAAGTAAACATAGATACATAATAAGTGACATAATTCAGTCACTTTCATGTTGCGCCAAAACTGAATGCCCAACTGACTTTTGTGGAGCACAAAAAGATTTGGGTTATTTTTTGAAGAACTTCGTCATCTTGCTCCAAAAAAAAAAAAAAGAATAAGTCATTTAGATTTGAAACATAAGGTTGAAGGAATGAACGGGTTTTGGGTTTGTCAACGTGCCCTTACAATTTTTCACAATTATGTTTTTGTTTGTTTATTGCTTTATTATTATTTTGTTTGGCTGCAACATAATTGATTATATATTATTACGACTTTCTAATAATATGTATTATATTTTACAATATATTTTTTTGATTTTTTTTGTAATTTCACTTATACATTTTATTTAGTAATAATGTTTAGTAAAAAGATGTTACACTGTCAATGTTAAAATGCCTTTCTATAGTTAATAGCATTAAAAATAAGAATTTAATTTATAAAAGATGATGATGATTTGTCATATTAATATTTTACTTAATTTATGGAAATAAAAAAATAAGATATAATAATAATAATTGTATCTATTAAACTATACTTTTTAATTAAAATAATCATAATTATTGTTACAAAATGATCATAATGATGATGATTTTTATGTTAATATTTCGCTTAATTTGTGGAAATTAAAACATAAGATTTAATAATAATAATAATAATAATAGTTGTATGTAATAAACATACTTTAATCAAAATCTATTACAAAATGATGATGTTAATGGTTGTTTGTCATGTTAATATTTCACTGTGGAAATAAAAATATTATTTATTAATAATAATAATATAATAATAATAATAATAGTTGTATGTTATAAACAATACTTTTTTAATTAAAATAATTATAATTATTGTCATATGATGATGATGATGATGATGATTATTATTATTATTATTTTCATGTTAATTTTTCTCTTTGTAGAAATTAAATAATTTGATTTAATAATAATAATAATAATAATAATAATAATAATAATAATAATAATAATAATAATAATAGTTGTATGTAATAAACATACCTAACATAACATAACAAATCTATTACAAAATGATGATGTTGATGGTTATAAGTCATGTTAATATTTCACTTTGTGGAAATTAAAATAATGTGATTTAATAATTATAATACTTTTATGCAATAAACAATACTTTTTTAAAAATAAAATCAATATTTTAAATGTCAAAACAAAGCTTTTATTGAGGAAAACTATACTGAGTGCAAAAGCTTCTCTTTTGTTGACAGCAGCTGGCTTATTTAGTTTTTAATTACAACTATAGGAACATGGTTGGCGCATGTTAAGTTCCCAAATGCACATTACAAGAAACCCAAATTTGCAGAAGATACAAGTTTATGTAAAGCACTGAACCAAAGTGTAAAACACACTGACCCACTCTGCTCTACGTTTTTTTTTTATTAAACCGCGCTAAACCATGCCACAGTTCTGTTTAATTTCAGTTAATCATGCAGACCCTAGTATAGATCTCCAGGTCCTCATTGTCTTTGTTTCACTGTTAACCCCAGCAGCCCACCGGTGCCACACATGCCTCATGTTTAAAGCCTGGCCAGGCGGAACCCCTCTGAATTTGGCACTAATTAGTCCCTCCGCCCGCCAGTCATTTTCCACTTGTCCCTCAAAGCTGGAACGCATTATCTTCAGGAGCTTTCCCATTGCACTGAAGCCTGCAGGCCTTTGCTGATAAAGCAGATTACAAGTCTCATTTTTATCCTTGTTAGTTTTTCTTTGAGCCTAAAAAGGGGCCTGTGTACAATACAGTACATAATCGCCCAATCCAACTGTATCGCTAACTTGTTACTCGGCAGAGAAGTGTAATTGATTTGACTCCTACTGAGTTTTTCCCCTGCACACACATATTTGTCTTGAATTGATGTGAAGTGGTGTGCGTGTTATTATAGTTTATACAGTGCTAGCAGATGCGCAAAGTACTCTTTAACAACATGACGTATAGTTGTGTATCTTTGCTTAAGAATGCTTACGTGTTGTGCTCTGCTCATTCAGGTCTCCTGAACTCTGCTCCGCTAATGCTTCCTGGTCGTCATGCGCTGAACGCCACCCTCATGGCAGCCAGTGTGGGCGGCATGATCCCCTATATGCTTGATCCCAGCTACACCACTGGCATTACCTGCCTGGGCTCTGTTTCTGCTCTCTCTGCTGTCATGGTAAGGGATTCACATACAGGTTCTCTAGAAAATTTCTTTTTTTTTTTTTTTGAAGCAAGATTATCATTTTTTTTTTTTTTTTTTACCTGTGTAAGTGTTGTTTTTGTAGTGTAAATGATAGAGTAGCTATTTTTTCAAATTATGCTATTATTTTAGTTCCAGATGGTACAGAATTTTTCAAAACTTCCATTACCTGCTAACAATTAAACAACAATTGAGCATGTTCTTAAACACTGCTAGCCATTATATTTACATGCTCAACCAAAATGACTGATTTGGAATTGAAGCTCATCAGTTTACCACTTTAAACTGCACCAGTGTCCCTGTATCAGTGTTAAAGTCACAATGATCAGTCGATTTATCAGCGGATCGCTCTCATTTTAGCTCATAAACAGACTAATAATAATAATAATAATAATAATTACAATAATAATTTTTTATTTATATAGCGCCTTTCTAGAGCTAGAGGACACTTTACAAAGAATGCGCCAAAAAGAGATGGTACAAGCAGATAAATGTAGACAGCATTAGATACACAAACATACAGGAAGTCAAATATAACAAACTGGAAACACAAAAACAAGACCTAAGAGACAAATGAGCAGAGTGCTGGTGGATCAGATAAAGTGTTCAGTTTGTCAGATCAGAAGTGAAGCATTCAGAAAATAAGTTTTAAGTAAAGATTTAAATTCCAAGATATTATTAACATAACGTAGTGAGCATGGTACTGAGGGGCAGCAAGAAGGCCAGAGTCAGCAGAAAGTAATGAACGAGTAGGGGTGTAGGGGACAAGCATGTTGCAAAGATAAGAGGGAGCTAGGCCATTTAAGGATCTAAATGCAAGGAGGAGAATTTTGAATTCAATGTGGTATGCAACTGGGAGTTAATGGAGGTCGTACAAGATTGGGGTAATATGAGCAGAACATTTGGTATTAGTGAGTATTCTTGCCGCAGAGTTTTAAATATATTGTAATCTGTAGATGAGGCTGGCTGGGAGACCAGTGAATAGGGCATTACAGTAGTCAATGCTTGACTAGCTGATCGAACAGCTCCGGTGTTTGTATGTGTGTTTGTAACACTAAACAGTGATGAACTGATGACCTTCATGGCCATTTCTGTTAAGCACGCCAACTCAATGGCAAATAAGCAGTGTTTAAGAACGTGCTCAACAGCACTTTAATGGTAGCAGGAAATAGATGTTTTTACAATTTCAGTACCGAAATTCAGTATGACAACACTATTATAATCTTACATTACTTAATGGATATATAGCCCATATTATAGATGATATGGAGGTTTTATGCACTTTTTCTGTACAATTATGCAAATGTAGTGGAGAAAAATGCGAAAGAAACATTTAAAAAAACTCTAGGCTCATTCCTTTAGAGTTCATTTATTGTATGTATTTGTTACTAGGCATAGGGATGTCAAAATGAGTGGTATTTCATTTTGACATTGGACAATTCGGTATCAGTTCAGTAATAAATCCTAACCGGTTATTACGTATTGATGTCATTTATCTCATATACGCTATGTGGTGGTAAAATACTATGGCGAGGGAGGCGAGCACGAGTAATGAAAATGCAGAAACTCTGTACAATTCACTGTGTGTGTTTTCTGAACAGTCGTTTACTGACACTGAAGTTACAGTAGAAGCCCCATTTTCATTGCTTTAGTGGAACTGGAAGTAAACTCCATTTCATTCTCTCTCACTGTGGGCCCTTTGACATGCTGGTGTGACATTTCCTCTTCTCGACTGTTGTAGCGATTCTTGTGGATCTGATCCAGACACAAGCGTGTCTGCTAAGCGAGCTTTCACCACCGCGTCTATCATGAATCAGCTGTGATCACTGCTGCCATTTATCAATATTAGAGCCAATTGCAGCCCTTTCTGTTGAGCGCATGACCCATAGGCATTTAACAACTCGCTCGACAACACTCAAAAAGCAACCGGGATAATAGTTACATATATATTTGTATTACAAAATACATATTTAAAATTTAAAAAAAAGTACACATTTTTATACAAGAATTGTTGTGCTGTGAAGTAAAATATAAAATTGTGTTCTGTGAGACCAGTGTAAGTTCACACCTCTGCTAGGTATGGTACAATAACCGATTTCAGGGTCAAGCTTTTAAAACCACAAGTCAAGCTTTTAAAACTGCAAAAATTCAGTGTTTTTTGTTTATTTTTTTTTTTTTTTTAACGTGGTGCCAAATACTATTTTATTTATTCAGGCCAACAGTATCTCCAGTAGCAAGTGACCATCCATCGAAAGCTACTGGTTAGCCCACAATTCAGTAAACAATTGAAAAACCAATCGCTTTTACTTTAATGAATTCAATTTATATCCAACAAAACATTTTATTTCACCTAGATTTTTAAAAAGAATTTATTTTAGAGTAGTAATCACAGTACTGTGAAACCGTGATATTTATACCCCAGGTTATCATACCATCAGAATCTTCCACTGACCCATGCCTGTTTGTTACATCTTAACGTAATGGTGGTCAGTAATGTACACAATTTAAAATGCTTGTGCAACATTTACTGTAAATTTTACAACATGAAATGTGCTGTGAGAACAGACATTATAAAGAAATTCTGTAAATCGTCATGGAGTATAGAGAGAGATTGAGAACATAGTGCAGCATGTATTAAAATGATGATCGGTAAACGCATGAAGTCCACTCTACTATGGCTGTATTTTTTTTTTAAATGTCACCATATTATTATGGATAAGCATGAACCACATTCATGAAATTGAGAAAAAACTCCAGGAAAACATTTGGTGTCATGGGCCTTTTGTCATTTGTCAATATTCAGGAAGCTGACATTTTGATACAGCTCCTTTTACCTCCTATAAAGATAAACAATCAGCTGCAGCCTGGCTCTTTTTACAGCGATATTCTTCAAGTCTCCGTCTTTTTTGCTTGTTTAACCGTATTTTTTACGTGATGTGTGGTAGCTGGCTTTGTTTAAGCCTGTTCCCAGTGGAACGTGCGTTGTTTAATAATACAGGGATGATATCATGGACGAGTGAAACCAATACTGTGTTTTGACAAACACCTCATGTCTTAATTGAAGCCCATTGCAACCAAATCTGTGTGAAATGTGTTGCTTTGGCGTGCGCCAGATCACCTTTCCTATTTGTATGATCGACCAGTGTGAAATGAACAGACCGGTTTTAGAGAAATGAACGTTGTGTACAATGCTTATACCTCAGGCTTGTGATTTTTCTTTTGGCAGACTTTAAACGATGGAATTGAGTTACTGTTGCGCTTTGCTCCCTTGTCATCACTGTAACCTTTGATCTCCACCCTTTTTTCTCTGTATGACCCTCTCTTTGACCCTGCTTTTCTTTTTGTTTGTAGGGCCTGACCCTGACAGCCGCCATCGGAGGGGCCGACATGCCCGTGGTGATCACAGTGCTAAACAGCTACTCCGGCTGGGCCCTATGCGCTGAAGGCTTCCTGCTGAATAACAACTTGCTGACCATTGTGGGTGCCCTCATTGGCTCTTCTGGTGCCATCCTCTCATACATCATGTGTGTGGTAAGTTCACAGTCACACTTGATTTGTCCCCCACTATTGTGTTTGCTGTGCACAATAAATTGTTCATGCTTTGTTTAGAAAAAAATTCACATTATTTTTCACACATTTTACCTTTATTGCATATTCTTGGTTCTATGAAGACCTTCCTTAGAAATTCATAATGTACTCTGATTGGTTAGCTGGCTGAGTGTATAATGATTTGCCGATTGGTTTATGCAAATTGCCTAAAAACATAGTTTATTGCTGTAGCAGAGTTGCAAGCACTCCTGTTGTTTTGTTTTACCAGTGGCCAAGCATAGTCAACATACCTGTAGCTGAAAGAGCTAAAATATTGCAATTCTACTGTAAACTGATTGCATAAATACAAAAATACTCTCGCAATTGAAGTTAGAGATAAAACTAAAACTAACCTTTTGAAAGATTGTAAGCATTTGACAGATAAATATGAATTTGCTTTCAAATAAAAGGCTAGCAAGCCAAACAGTAACTATGTTTCCATACAACTATTTTTATACACATTTTGGATATGCGCTTAAACCGGTTTATGTAAACGGCAAGATGCACATAAATTTTGAAAGTGCGCATAAAGAACATGTGCGCATAACTAAGTAGGATCAACTTTTTCTTCAAAAAAAAAAAAGATGCGCATAAACTACGATGGAAACACTTTTACTGAACAAATTCCAGCATGCGCATTAAAAAAGGTCTTGTGATTTTGTTATAAGAGATCATGTAATGATAAAAAAGTTTGCGAATGGACAAACCAGCAGGCTGAGCACACTGTAAAGCATCTGAAATGTTGTTTTGGTCATTGTAAAATGCCCTAACCGTTTTAGTATTAGTGTTATTATGTTATTAATGATCTCCAGAATCAAGAGCGTCTGTGCTCCGCGTCTCACACTTTCAAACGGCACCACGCGTTCACTGTGTGTCAGGATTGTCTTCTGAGGTGCAAGTTATTTATTAAATGAAGAAATGATTCTCGCTGCTTCTCTTATCGCAGCAAATCCCATTTTAACTGTTGTTTGGCACCAGATGATCAGGAAGTTTTGCGTATGAAGTTAATTCGCATTTTTGGATGGAAACATAGCTAGTGTTAAGAAGTGGAAAGAGAATCAATAGATAAGATGATCAAAACTATAAAAGGTCACTGTAAATCATTTGCGCATTGCTTAATTGATCTTGGCTATTAAAACACGTGTGCTGGTCTAAAAATCTTGATCTGGAAGACTGGATGTTCCTGTTATAATGACTCCCATGGCTTGAACCGGAGCAATTTGAAAACTCAACACTACGCCTTTTTTTTTAAAGGATTATCCTTTATCCACATGCAAATTCCTCTTTGAGCCACTTTGGCCTTGTTTATATCCTGTTTTTAATGTCTAAATGTCACAACACATGTTTGACACACATTTTCTTGACACAATTTTTCCACTGAAAGGTGGTATTCATTCCCTGCATTGCCCTGATTTTTGCAATTTCGGATCTTTTTCTCACTAGGCCATGAACCGATCCCTGGCTAATGTCATTCTGGGAGGCTACGGCACATCATCCACCGGCACAGGGAAGCCTATGGAGATCACAGGTACCCACACCGAGGTCAACGTGGATCAGACGGTGGATCTGATCAAGGAGGCTCATAATATCATCATCGTTCCAGGTAATGGCGGCCCTTTGCTGACTTGCACATCTAAAACTTGCTTTTTAAATTAAATCTGGGGAAACTTCAAACAAACCTTTGTTATGTCTGTTCAAGCCAAACTTGGTTTGGTCCCATTACATCACTGGTGATTTTTTTGTACCTCTCCTGTTCAGGATAAACCCCTCAGATTTTGCCCTGAGGCATGTTGGGGCTTGTTTTGAAGTTTAAAAAGGTGGCCTGAAATTCTCACTTTTTTCTTTTTTAGGCCTTTGATACAGTTGTGTTTGAGTTTTGTCACGATTCTGTTAGACATTGGCATGTTTTGTGAAAAGATATAGTTTACCTGCATTGAATTTTCTTCAAAAAGCCTACTTTTAAAAACACAAACGAGTTTACAGAGGAGCAAGTAGGGCTGGGCGATTTAGCTTGAAATCAATATTTCGATTGATTGAACCTTATAACTAGATTACAATTAATGAATGATTATTTGATTTATTTAGTTTTTGCCCTCATTGTTTACTGACAAGCTTTGTACAGTAAATATGCACACTTATTACGTGTGAGAAATTTTTGAATGTTTTGAATTTAATTTTAAAACAATTGAAGTAAACACATGGTCTGTTATCTATGATATTTTATTGAACATCAATGCTAAACAACTGAAATTACAACGCGCATTGCCTAAAACACGGCTCTCCACGCCACCCACTCTCATCACTGCTACCAAACTGACCAATCACAAATCTTGTGCCATGCATCATTGTGACGTGTACTTTCATTTTTTTTAGAGGTGCGCTTGTATGCGAAGGCTGTGTCGGAAAATGTCAGAATAATATAATAAGTACAAATCATAATATATTAAGTATAAATCAGCCTTAACAGACCAGGGTCACAAGACTCCACACACAGTAGGGAATTAATTGGAAAAATTGACCTGGAAAATTTAGATTGATTAGGTCAGAATTTTCAATAATGGTCTTGTTAAATTAGAAGTCAAACTATTTTTAATTTTGCCTATTTTTAATTAGGTCGAGTTTTCTTAACATATGAACATCACAGTTAAACTACAAATATGTATTTGGCCTTATGGTCAAGCGTTAAAATTAAATTAAAAAAATATGTTAATGTTGTAATGACATTGAGACCAATTATTGGTGTTAATTAACTTCTAGTCTGCTCTTAATTATTAACTTGTAGTGTGCTCTTTCATCTTTGAATGCTAACTTTTTTTTATTACTTCAAACAGTCCTTTATGTCTGTGAATGAAACCTTGCTTCACCCTATTACATCACTGAAATTTTTTTGACCCCTCCTGTGTGGGATAATCCCTTCAGATTTTTCCCTGAGGCCTGTTGGGTCTTGTTGTGAGGTGGTCTTAAATTCCCACTTTTTTTTTTTAAGGCCCTCGAAATATTTGCATGCAGTTTTATCATGTATCTGTTTGGGTGTTTTGTAAAGTGGTGTGATTGGCCTCATGTGGTATTCTTCTGGCATGATAGCGCCATATTTTTTTTAGCCCAGCTGACTGATGGAGCTGTGTGTGTTTGATGAACTTGATCCGTGTTTAGCTTTTAATACAAGCTTGGTTGGCAAATAATTTAGTTGGACTCATGTATGTGAAGTGCATATTTTTCTGTGGTTGGTTTTGTCTTGGCATTGGCCTCGAGCGACTGCTTTGTTCTTCGCAATGGACTGTTTTATAGTCACATTTTATGGTCCGACAGCAGGTTGAGATGATCAAGACCTTGAAGGCGACAGGACAGTGGAAAAGAGGAGCGATTAGATGCGGGAATATGAACAGAAAGAAAAGGAGAAATGATAATAAACAGCTCGTTCCAGAATAAACAAGACTGCAAGGCCAAGCACAACAGAAACGGCCCTTTTTTATTTAAAACAAATGGCCAACCAGCTATGAGGCATCCAGGTTTTTTTTTTTTTTGACTGTTGCCTGTTTAGCCTCTGCCAAGATGTCTAAGAGCCCTGTGCTCACGGATAACACTGGCCTGACTCGTCATGAGCACCAAAGTCTGCTGGGATAAACCTATTGGATGTAATTAAGGGCATACATTAAAGGTGCCCTATTAAAAGAGTCTGGGTATATTTTGGCATAGTCTAATAATAAGAGATCAATATATGGAAACAGACATACGGTGAGCCTCAGACACCATTGTTTCCTCGTTCTCATGTAAATTCCACTTGTGTAAAACCCCATTGGACAACAGGCCAATCAATGCACAAACCAAACTGTTACAATGCACAAACCGTGACTTGCGGAGCAGGCCCCTCATCATTTGCATGTATGCCAACTTTAGGTCGTTTATCCGGACCTGATGAGTCATTTGAGGGATTGATAAAGCATGAATAGTCCTCACTTTAGATTAGGTCACAAAACTGCATAAGGTTGAGTTAAATAGCATTTAACATACATAGTAATAATTATTTCTATTTACCTGAAAAATAAGATTTATAAACGTTGATTTCAATAGTTTATTAATCATTTACTCACTCATTCTGAATTATCTTAAAAACCTCCTACTGCTCTTAAATACAAATGGTTTGTAAATAATGTAATACTTAAGTAATGAATAATCAACCAGCTAGGGCTGGGCGATTTATTTAATTATTTATTTATTTATTTTTATTTTTTCCGATTTTTTTTTTTCCGATTTTTTTTTTTTTTATTTATTTATTTATTTATTTTTTTTTATTTTTTTTTTTCTTCGATTAATTTGAATTTACGTTTTAAGACTATTTAATTTGGAATCAAATCGAGAAATCGCGATTTAAAAAAATATATATATATTTAATACATTATAATGGCACCAATGCGCTTTGGTTCACTCTCTGTATGAAGCAGGAAGCACACCAGAAGCACCTCTCGACGACGCGCAGCACCACGCAGCGCCATGGATTTTAGAATTCTAATTAGCTTCTGGTGTACGACCTGCTTGACTGCCTGTTAAAGCGTGAAGTCATGTAGGATTTTACTTGTTGCATTAGTCTGAGTCACGTCTGTGTGGATTTCAACATGTATGAAGGACGTAAAAGCCTGCCATGTGAAAAACCGCGCCGATCTTTTGGTTTGAACACGAGCAGAGGTGAGGGCCAGTAGCAGTGAAAATGAAAGTACCCGCCCCCATGACATCATTTAGTGGACCTAGTTGAAAACCAGACAGATCAGGCAGCATAATACAGAGAGTGGTGAAAAGTGCATGAAATGATCGGTATTTAAAAGGGGGAAATAGAAAAAATATATTAAATATATTAATTTATGTCAGACACACATCTGGTGCTTGTATTTGCTCCTGCTATACGTCCACAACTTCACACATTGGGTTAAATTAGGCTTTACAGTTTCCATGTTCAGTTCTTTTCTTCCACTGTATCTTTTCAAGAATAAGGCAGCAGCATTACAAGTTGTCATTTAATCAGAAGATCAAAAGAAGTCAAAGCCGAGCTGACAGCCAATCTTTCCTAGGCTCAGCAAAACTTGCAAAAATACCTCTGTATTCCTGCAACTGCAATATTTACACAAATATTTTTATTAAAATCTTCAGCAAGGCTATTTAACTCGTGAATTTGTTTTACATTTATTTACACCTTGACCGATTTTTGTATGACATGGCCATTAAAAATACAATGTTGCTTAACCAGATGGTTTTTCAAGTTACTTTTAAAGAGAATGTTACTTCAGTCATGTTGTTGTCATGTTTTGAGAAGACTAGTAACACAAAAAAAAAAAAAAAAAAATCGAATTGGAAATCGTGAATCGATCAAACTTTATAAAAAACCTAGATTTTTTTTTTGCCAAATCGCCCAGCCCTACAACCAGCCACAAATTATGAAAGTACAATTGTTAAGCACATTATAAATATGGTTATAATTAAAAAAATAAGCATTTTTAGCTGCAGTTATAAACTGCTTACTAATGCTTATTAATGTAGAGTTAATGCTTAATAATAATGAATTCACTGGCTTTCTGATATAAAAGATGGCAAATGTTTGATTATAGAAGCTGCAGTCTGGAAAGTTAGACTCTCCTTATTGTTGAACTCTGGACTGCAAAATAACACGTAATTGAAGCACTTAAGTTTTCTCTCCTCATTTGCCTCTAAATTCATCCATCAGCCATCATTGCTTTTTGGTATGTTTTGAGTTCTCTACTGCTCACTCCTTGAACTAAGCTTTGTTTTCATTTACACCTTTTCATATAATTTAAGTTGTCATGGTGTGTTTGGATGATTGACAGTTGTGAAAACATTTAAGCCTTTTCTGTTTAAGCGTAGGGTTTGCCAACTATGGCTGTTTTCTCAGAGAAAAAAAAATCATTAGTAGTAAAGAGGGTTGGTCAAAATGTGACATGCTTATTTGGGCGCAAAGATTTTTAAAGCTGTTGTGAAAGACCTGTGTCAACTGTAATTGACTGGCATGGAGTTTCTTTTAGTGCTACTTTTTTATTTTCTTTTTATTATGTCAAGCTCCTACTGATCCCATTTTAACTGAGTCTGCTTTGCTTTCACACTGGGCCAAAGGTGTAATAATAAACATATTTGTGATAAATTATAATATATTCTGACTCTTCTTTAGATTAATCAACAATGTATTTCAACATGAAGCAATTTCCTCCGTTTTTTTAGCTTGTTTATAATCTGTTCCAGTCATTCGAGTGTTAGTTACTACTGCGTCTGAGTTACAAATGAGTGGAAGCGGGTCACTTGTTTGCTTTACCATCAAAACATATTTTTCCTATTGTTTATAAGTTGGAATAGTTTATTATGGCAAAATCGGTTCACACAGCATTTTGTGAGAAGGATGAGCTATGATTAGTAAAAATATGGAAATGACATGTCGGGATCATGCAGAGTTCAGGCGTTTACGCAGGAGTTTTGTAAATTGTTTTTCTTTGTTTTTGCTTTAATCATAGATCAGACTTCTATTGTCATTCATTTTAAAAACAAACAAAAACTGTTTAGCAACCCCAAGATTTTGGTACAATGTTGACCAACGTAAATAGTAACAAATAAAAAAAATATATAGACATTAGAAGACAGAACAGTAAATTTTTTTTTTAATTGTACCTTTTGTAAAATACATATTTAAGTGACTTATCTGAAGTTCAGAAAAGTAAATGCATATTATATAAAAACCATGACTACATCATAAATAATATAAATAAACGTATAAATAAATGCATAACATGCAAATACACTTATGTAAATATGTATTTTTTTTAAATAAATGTACAATTGTACTTTTCTGTCTTCTAAACAAACACCATAACCGTATTGTATTAAATTTGAATGTGTTTGTATATTTTTATATGTATTTAATTCCTATATCTTTTACTTCAGGTTATGGTCTGTGTGCAGCAAAAGCTCAGTATCCCATTGCTGATCTTGTGAAGTCACTGACTGATCAGGGCAAGAAAGTCAGGTAAGCGAGTCAGGTTTTTTTTTTCTTTTTTGTTTAATTCTCCCAGTGAAACTGATTTGACGTCATGATGAAGTCATGAGTAAGATCTATGAGACCAGGAGAAGGCTTTCAGCTTGCATTTTCCATTTGTCTCTGTGACCGTTGCTCAGGAGATGCAGGACACCCCTAGTTGGTTAACATCATATGGATTATTGAAGTGGATGACACTTAGAAATATTTTTCTTTCTTCACCCAAATACCTGTTTTTCTGCCCACAGATGTGCTTTAAAACTGAATGTATATCAAAACATGTTATTGAGTTATTAAATTCTTTAAATATATATATTAAAAATATATTTTAATTAAAGCAGTCAAAATGAATTTTTATTTGCCGTAATAAGCTTTGTAAATGGGATATTTTATAAACTTATTATTAATTAATTATCCGTAATTAAATTATCCATACAATATTTAAAAACATTAAAATGTGTTTTAGAAAATAATAAATTTACAAATATTGGAAGATAGATTGTATTCATTAGGTTGTAGATGAATATTTGACATTTAAACATTACATTTTCTTTTAATAAATCAAAAAAGCATATTAAGTTAAATTATGGCTTTTAAAAAGGTATGTAATTTTAAATAAATAAAAAAATCAAGGATGCATTTGTGAAGTTATACAGCATAAAAATATTTCCAATTTTTTTTTTTGCTGTTAAATGCATTTTATCTAAGAATTTAGAAAAACAAATCTATTGATGGATTATTTTTTTTTTTTACTAAATTATCAGTGAATATTTTTTGTGTTGTTGTTGTTGTATATATTTTTTTAAATTTGAAAAGACTAAAACATTTTTTTCATTGTATCTGCAAAGTTTTTTCATGAAAAAAAGATTTTAACACAGGCCTCTATCTGGCCGGCAATGTATTAGTCTCATATCTTATTCAAACGCAAGCCAAAAAGTCAAACGTTTTCCCTTCCATCTCAGTGTCTGTGAGCGTTGGTCTGTCAGAGAGGCTCGGTACTGTTTGAATATCTCACTAACTGCAGGTCAGTCTGGTGCACCTCTCAATGGCATCTTTCTCTCTGCATGTCGGACTCCTCCATTTCAAAGAGTGCTTTTGAATCTCGTCATTCAGTCGCTCTATTGTGTGGGGCTTTTGTTAGCTCTCCAGTGTACGTGTAATGCCCCTGTGATCTGAGAGCGCAGTGAACCCCAGGCCTCCCAGTGCTGTGAAAGAGCGACAGGTGCGCAATACGCAATACTTTCCACAGTCCCACTGACGCCTCTCAGGTTGCAGGGCGTGGAAAGGCTGTGCGCTTGACCCTGGAGATGCTTCAACAACCACACCATTTCAATATTTTAATGAGTTAAGCTTGTAATATCATGTAAAAGTTGCAAGTTGAAAATGTGAATGATGGCAGGATTTTAAGATGGGATAATTAAATAAAGATATGTGATGTGGAGGGCTTATTCATCTTTTTTTACCAGTAAATTGTCAAAAAATGTCCTATCAATGGGATATTCCATCGATCCATGTTTCCACTGTTATAGGGATAGTGATCAGATAAGAACTGTGTAAACTAGTGGAAAAGTAGAATTTTATTTTATTTTTTTATTTTATTTACTAACTTTTATTTGATTAACTGCGACACTAAAGAATGGCTGCTGACACGCTGAAAGTCTGATATATACATATATATATATATATATATATATATATATATATATATATATATAAATGACTTTTTTTTTTTAATTCCAAATGTTTCTAAATTGGCAAACCTCAAACAAAAAGTTCTGCATTTTATTTTTTAACTTTGCGTTTTATTTACTTTATTACAAAACCGAACAAAAACTTGGCAAAAAAACATACTAACATATATCATTACATACATACACATATCAATATGCACATACATAATTACCTACAGTATATATACACATCACACATAGACTTGCATGTAAAAAAAAAGCCAAACGCATAAGATTGCTTTATCTCTTCCAGTTACCATTGACTTGTTGTGTTGTTTTTATATTCCTTATATATCAACCCTTTTTCCCAACACTTCCTTAAATATCCATTTTCATCGTCAAGATAAATGTCTGTTAATACTATTACATGAATATTTTCAATTATCTCAAACCACTGCTTGCGTTTCAACATTAAAAAGGAACTTGTTTAAAGATTCAAAGTCTTTTTGCATACCAAATGCATGTGTGAAATTTTAATTATTTATCAGTTTAATATTTGAAAATGTTAAAGTTAAGAGTATTTACATTCACTTACAGTGTAGTAATGTGTGAAATTTAAATTATTTATTATTCTAATATAAAATGTTTTTGAATTTAGTAATATACATTTATTTACAGTGTAGTAATGTGTGAAATTTAAATGATTTAATAATTATAAATTGTTAAATTTAATAGAATGTACATTTATTTACAGTGTAGTAATATGTGAAATTTAAATTATTTATTGTTTTAATATTTAAAAATTTTCAGTTTAATATACCTTAATTTTCAATGTACTAATGCACAGAGTGAGATTCATGTCTCCTACAAACATCAGAAATTAATTTTCTAGTTTGTCATTTGTCAAAGCAATTCTTCCCCCCGCCCCACATTTTCCTGTCCTTATTTAAAAGTCCAAAGAGTGATGCGCTCAAAAATGGCCATCTGATTTAAATGTACTCTTCAGGAAGCTATGACTGACCACCATGGCCATTTTGCCATTTTTCCTTCCCACTGTCTTGTTTGTCTCTCTCACTGGATGGTGTCAGTTCTTTTGTTGTGTTCCCACTAGATAGTGGTTTTCAGCACTAGGCTGGTTTCACCACACTCTGGGCAAACCATTGAGCCTATTATGGCATTATCTGTGACTTAAAGATGCCCTCAGCATTTTTCATGAAGGCACAAACACTTTTTTTTTTTTAAAAAATCACTCCCAGAATGTTATGGCATTGCTGCCAACCAGTTTCATACACTTAAAGCTATAGTAGAGTCACACTACAGTTTTAGCATATGAAATGACACAAGATGATGCAACGCTGATATGATTGTTCATATATAGTATATATATTCGTTTTTACTTCATTTTGATATTTTTTTTTAAGTGAAAATTGGAGAAAGACAGTGAAAGCGAGAATGTTAGAATAACATAAGAGCTTAAAAGGATACAAATTAAAGATCAGTTAACAAAATATAAAGTCAAGCACAGTCTGTTTTTATCACTTATGCAAGTAGTTATCTATTTATAATTTTAGTAAAAAAGTCCTTCACATTTTGAAACTTGGTAACAATATCCAAACATTCAGACTTTGTTGGAGGTTCAAATTGTTGCCACTTTTCATGTCACAGCCTTGTATAACATCTTTCCAGTATGGCTAAATATCTAAGCAGCTCCAATGTACATGAAACTTGTTTTGTAAATGTTCCTCATATTTCCTTCATAGTCCCCTGTCCTTCACACAAATCTGAATACATTTTAACTTGAGGGTTATAACTAGGGCCAGACGGAATCTGTGAATATTTTTTTGCTATTTCTGCGCAAAATTTTGTAAAACATTTCTGCAGATTTATGCAAAATGATTTTAGGAGTATCATAAATAAAACTTTAATATATGAACTAAAAAGTAATACCTTTTTAACTTGTATTTAATGTTTATGATGCAAATCCAATTTGGTCCACTTTATTTGGTACACAAAGCAAGTTTTTCTTATTATATATCCACTAAAAGACAAAAAAGAAAATGTTACTTTACAAACTGTATTGTAAATAAGTTGTATGAATATTTTCATATTAGTCAATAATTATACTGAAATTAATTAAAAAACTGAATAATCATAAATTAAAATACATTTATACAAGTAAATAAACAGAATCATCCGTAGAAATCTGCGAAATTCTGCGCGTGCAGTTTCCTTGTGGGCCTTGTTTTAACATATCTAGTAAGATTCCTCCAGCAAAAGTCTCGCCACATACCAGCACAGATAGTAGCATGTGCAGAGATATTCAAGATTGCTCCATATTTAAAATATCTTTACTTAGAGGTCATGTTTTGATCTTCTATTGGTTTTACGCATTCAAGTGATGCAAATCCATAGGTCAGAGGTCACGTTAAGACATGAAACACTGGTCAACAACTTGTTCATGAGGCGGTCATGCATGCTTTGTTCAGTACTGGAAATCTTTGCGTCCTGCATCAGATTATCATTCCCTGATGCTCCCTCATGAGCCTCAATACAATTTCCCACAATGCAGCTTATGGGGCACTTAAACAGTCAAATTGAAATTGGCAACTTATTTCATTCAGTTGCCACCTTGTCAGATCAGTGACATAAGCTGCATTTCTGTTTTCTCTCTCTCTTTCAAGAGCTGCGGGCACTGTGATTGTGGAGGAGAGATGCAGACCGGAAGCTTGTGTAATTTTCCTTCATTCGTTTGATCTAAGAGCCCAACAGCTGCTGCCAATTAGAGCATTTGCAGTTGATTAGAAGGGGAGATGGGTGGCCAAAGAGTGGACAGATTAGGTAGCGCACCCTCCGATCTCCCCCCCCTCCCCTTGCTTTCTTCAGGATAATTGGCTCGGGGTGTCGCACTGTCCAGAGGATTGTGGGTAGAGCTGACACTGTGTAAACTGTCTCCTAATCATTCCTGTTCTCTCTGTCTCTCCATCATTACTTTTGTTTTTTTGCTGCAGGGTAGAGTTGGAAAGATTCGGTTCATTGCAAGAGTCGCCAGTTTTTAAGCAGTAAAGCGCCGCTGTTTTGAGTCTCTTTTGGGTTGTAAGATTTTGCGGTTGTTTTCGGAGCATGTTGGTGGAAAGCTGTGCGATTGTAATGGGAATAGTAGAACGATCGGGCTGGTTTGGATGGGGAGATTTGAAGCTTGGACTCTGTTCGCCCAGGCTGTTTTGTGCGTACTGCAGCTGGAGGTTATGAAAGCCAGAGACGGAGCTGATTGACAAAGCCCATGTCTTGAAAATTTTAGGCCTGTCTGTTAAAGTATATTTTGCTTTAGTTGATTATTGGACATGTTTTTCCTCATTTCCTATTTGACACATTTAGTTGAAGGAAACTGATAAACAGACGCCAAGTTTCGGTTGGTCTTCGTGGACACGACACTTAGAAATAGACAAAATTACCTAAAAAAAAAAAAAAAAATGTTGGAAGTTTTTTTTTTTTTTTTTTTTTTTTTTTTTTTTTTTTTAAAGGAAAAGTTTTGAGTTTATAATTTTTAAATTATTATTTTTAAGAAAAGTTTGGCTTTTAGTATTATTAGTATTATTATTATATTTTTTTATTATGATATTGTGATTTTTTTTTTTTTTTAATTTTTAATTTTTATTTTTATTAAGTAAAATTTGGGAGATTTTTTTAAAGGAAAAGTTGGGAGGTTAAAAAAAAATTAAGGAAAATTTGAGAGATTTATTTTTTTAAAGAAAAAGTTGGGAGATTTATTTATTTATTTTATTTTTTTTAAAGAAAGTTGGGAGATTTATTTATTTAATATTTTTTGGGAAAAAGTTGGGAGATTCTTTTAAAATAATTTTTTAAGGAAAAGTTGGATTTTTTAAAGAAAATGTTGGGAGATTAAATTAAAATTTTTTAAGGTTAAGTTGGGAGATTCTTTTTATTTATTTTATTTTCTAAGGAAAAATTGGGGATTTTTTTTTAAAGTTGTGAGATTAAACAAATAAGAAAAAGTTTAGATTTTTTTAATTATAATTTGTAAGGAAAAGTTGAGAGATTTTTTTTTAAAGAGAACGTTGGGAAATTTATTTATTTTATTTTTTAAGGAAAAGTTGGGAGAATCTTTTAAATTAATTTTTTTAAGTAAAAGATGGGGATTTTTTAAAGGAAAAAAAATAAGGAAAAGTTTTAATTTTTTTTAAATTATTATTTTTAAGGAAAAGTTGGGAGATTTTATTCATTTTTTCTTCAAAATATGAGAAAGAAACTTAATTGCAAAAAGTGTAAAACAAATACGCTCAAATAGGGCATAAATGTGTTTCAACAAGTGGACACGAGTGATCTGCAATTGTTATTAATATTATTTTTTTATTGTATTATTATTTGTAAAGATTTTTTCTTTTTTATTATTATCTTTAAGGAAAAGTAGTGAGATTTAATTTTTATTAAAGTTTTATAAAGAAAAAAGTTAGATTTTTTTTTTATATTATTTTTTAGGAAAAGTTGGGAATTTTAAAATAAATTTTAAGGAAAAGTTGGTTTTTTTTTAAATTATTTTTTAAGGAAAAGTTGGGAGATTTTTTTTTTTTCTTCAAAATATAAGAAAGAAACATAATTGCCAAAAGTGTAAAACATATACGCTCAAATAGGGCATAAATGTGTTTCAAAAAGTGGACACGAGTGACCTGCAATTATTATTATTATTTTATTATTATTTTTTTTATTATTTGTCAAGATTTTTTCTTTTTTATTATTATCTTTAAGGAAAAGTTGGGAGATTTAATTTTTTATTAAAGTTTTATTAGAAAAAGTTTGATTTTTTTTTCATTATTATTTTTTAAGGAAAAGTTGGTAGATTTTATTTATTTTTTTCTTCAAAATATGAGAAAGAAACATAATTGCCAAAAGTGTAAAACATATACACTCAAATAGGGCATAAATGTGTTGCAAAAAGTGGACACGAGTGATCTGCAAATGGACTAATTACAAAGTAAACAACTAATCCAATTCAAATCAGAAGTAAAGTGAGCTGGTTTTAGTGACCGCACATAAATTGGTTAAAGGTGCACATCTATGTAATCATTACACAACCAATCTTTTCTGAGAATTTAAGTTTCCAACCTTAATTTCTTTTTTCCTCAAAAGTGTTTTTATTGTTAGATATAAAACATGCAGTACAAATAGCTTTTATTTATTTTTTTTTTACAAACAAACATAACCTATTACACATACTACATTTAGGTTCAGTAAAAATATCTTTAAAAAATTAAAATACAAATAATATATAGATATAGATGAGAAAAGAAAGAAATAAGAAAGTTCTACTCTTAAAATAGCTGAAGGGTCCATCTTCTTTAAGTGATCTGAAACTAGTTGCCCATTGAGGAAAAAACATATCAGTACAACCTCTTACAGTTTAATGTGTTTTCTAAGGTCGTGTGGTGTAAAAGTTTGAGCAAAATTTGAGCAATTTTAACCTTCTAGCTAAAAGTGTAGGCAATCACATTTATCTTTCTTTTATTAATACAAAAGGATAATAATGTAATACCAAATACTGATATTATGGCCTCGGGTTATACATAAGAATTTAATGTATTGGAGAGAATTTAAATATTAGCTGCCAGAAGTTCTTTAATTTTGAACACAACCGTCCAAAATTATTCGTAGTGTAGCTGGCTTAATAATAGATCGGCCACAATTAGGATCTAAATTACCATTAAAGGAATCTTTGTGGCCAATTATTTATAAAGAAATCATAATGTTTTGGACCTTTGAAATTATTTAACTGGACAATGTATATGTTTGATAAATAAAACCCAAGGCTGTTTTTAATGACTTTAAGGAGTCTTTCATATTTTTTGTAATTGTGATTTTTTTATCTTTAATAAGTAATATGTTGGATTGGATTAAAAAATTAAGTTTACATACAAAAATATAAATATTAGTTACTTTATGAAAAATGACCACAGTTGCATATCTTTTTACCTCAAAATAGTGTAAACAACTTGAAACACTGGAAAAGTGGAACATGCTTTTACACTGGTTTAAAGTGCATATCACTTCCTGTGTCTTTCTTAAGCCTGTTGGCTGTGATCTTCTGTGTTTTACAGTGAAGTCGTAAAGCGGCCCACCTGCCCTGAGGGTCCACTCGTCTTCCTCAAGCCATTTCCCCAGAGCTCATGCACTTTACTGCTTTTGGCATTAAAAAGATAGCTTCAGCCACTGCTTATTTCCTTCTCTCTTAACCTTTTGCAAACAGCCTGACCTCGACCCTAAAGCGCTTCACTTAACAGTGTTCAAAAGAATGGCTGCACGCACTGTATGGAGAGTCACTCAGCGCTGCTGGAAAGCGTTCTGTTTGGGTGCCGTGTGTATCAGGCGATGTAAAGGATCATGTGGTCTGTATTGTTTGTATCTGTGTTTTTAGGTTTGGAATCCACCCTGTGGCTGGTCGAATGCCGGGCCAGCTGAATGTACTGCTGGCTGAAGCTGGTGTGCCATATGATGTTGTGCTGGAGATGGATGAGATCAATGAAGACTTCCCTGGTATGGTGTATATTTTGCTTTTGTTTAGTGTTTTTGGCCTTTGTTTGTGGGATAAAAAAAATCAATGATCATGCTCTTTAACTGTTTTTCAGAAACTGATCTGGTTTTGGTCATTGGAGCTAATGATACAGTGAATTCTGCAGCCCAAGAAGACCCTAACTCCATCATTGCTGGCATGCCTGTTTTGGAGGTCTGGAAGTCCAAGCAGGTAAGCTTTTTAGTAGTTGTTGGGGTTTAAAGAGTCAAAATTAAATTGATCAAAATACTTAGTAAGCAAATAAATTAAAGGTGCTGTATACAAGTTTTTAACTCTTCTAACGCACAAAAATACCATAATAAGTTTGCAGATATTTGAAAAACAAGCCAAGTGAAAATAATTATCTGAAAAACAATGCTGAAGTCGGGTGTTTTGCTTTAAAAATGTGTTTTCCATGCCAGAACAATGTCTTTGTTTTGGTAATTTTGGTAATCTATTTGTTAATCAGTCAACTATATTGCAGAACCCAGGTTGTCTTAGTGGAAAACTGCATAATTCATTCATTCATTCATTCATTCATTCAGGAAGGCTCTCAAAGTATGCATCCGTGACTGAAATTCCACATACCGTTATTAATTATCAAATAATAAAAATATTACAAACGTAAACATTAGGTGAGCAGGTTACATTGTTGTCCTGTGTCCTAACAACACGCTTCGTGACAAGATCTGCAGCGATGAGCAATTTGGCTGTTTACACCAGTCGAAGCACGACAGAAATTTAAAGACAGCCATTCAGAAGCACAGAATATGCATTCACTCATGAGGTTTAAACTCTTTAATACATGTTAACACTCTTTAACATTATTAAATGTAGATGCTGAATCAATTGCCTGTGTGTAGTTCTAAAATTCAATTTCATACGGTGTATTTTATTTTCAAGATCTGAGGTGAACTATCTGCTGCTGCTTTCAGTAGTATGGCAATAAATGTTATGTAAAATGGCATTCAATATCATATTATTTGCATTTAACACTGAATAAAGCAAATGAGGTTTACCTGAGGTGATCATTGTCTTAGTTTTCTGTTGTTCACCTCTGAGAAATAAAGCCATTTCTAAAATATCAGTTCAAGGTGTTGGTTAGGACAAAAACTTAGTCTAATATGGAAAATATTCTTTCTATTGGGTGCTGTTGCTTTTATTTAGAGCAGTTTAAATCACCCGCTCCATTTCACAATCTGGCAACCTGCACTTGCGTTTGCTTTGATCCAGGGGTGAAATACCTAGTTCAACCACTGGGTGTCCAACTTACTTACTGCACCTTTAATGAGGATTTTAAAAGTTGAAATTGCTGTTCATTCAAACTCCAATCAAATCAAAATGTTCAGAGAAAATATTATTTTCTAAGCAATGTTTTTGGGGATCAAAAAGTTGACAATAAGTGGAAAATCCTGCGAATCAAGAGTTACTGCAAGTAATGCAGAAAACTAATGACCACCAGTAACCTCTACCATTATCAGAGTAAATAGTTTTAAATTATATAAAATCTGAAAATAATGTAAAAAATAGCATTATATTGTGAAAAAAGTTCCAATAATGCCATATTTTCTAATTCAGTTAGTAAAAAAAAATCAACAAATAGGACCACCAGTAACCTCTACCATTATCAGAGTAAATAGTTTTAAATTATATAAAATCTGAAAATAATGTAAAAAATAGCATTATATTGTGAAAAAAGTTCCAATAATGCCATATTTTCTAATTCAGTTAGTAAAAAAAAATCAACAAATAGGATATATATATATATATATATATATATATATATATATATATATTAGGGATGTGCGGAGCAGCCGGTATTTGTATTTGTTGAGGGGGGAAAAGTATTTGTATTTGTATTCAAGTAAAATTCAAAATGGCGCAAAAATATATATTTTTTCTATTACACTTCTAATTTACGTTATAGTGAAAGTATTGTTTAATTATACCCATTATATAAATTATAGATATGCAATATTGGCTGTTGTTTTTGAACATGTGATAAGAAATGTCATTGAAAAGAAAATAACATAGAAGCCATTATCTCATCCATGGTTAAACCAACAACTAATAAAATACCATTGTGAATATTATGAACCCCACCACCACCGTTCTTGTTGAAGGACACTGAATAGACAGAATAAAAACAAATAATACTTCAAAAAACTGTTCTTCTGAAAGAAAGAACTTCTTTCCAATGGACAGAATTCCAAAAACTAATATTAACTAAATAAATCTAAATAAAACCCTGCCCGGGAGATCTGGCAGAACAAAAGTATTCTATATAATACTAAAAGATACAGCCCTGCTATTATCATCTGCCTGCCACAAAAAAGACACAAAGTTTGTTTGTTTGTTTTTTTTTATGTTTAAAACTGACTTGTTGGGGCAGAATGTGGCTGTGTTGATGCTTTTAGTGCATGTGATAATACATTACATAGAAGGTTGCGCGGTGCTCTGTTCAGTGAGAAGCGCTCTCTATGGCAAGCCTTTTTAGCATTTAAATCTTTGTTCTGACTCCATAAATATATTAGAGATATCTCTAATTATATTTTGACTAGTCATAATTATAATTCCACTACTCAGAATGACAATTAGACATGTCTGCAATTACAATTGTACTAGTACGAAATCAGATGAATTTTGACTAGTAACAATTGTAATTGATATCTCTAAGTTTTTACTAGTCATAATACATTTAGAGATATCTTTAATTCATCATATTTAGAGATATTTACAAATATATTTGAAGATATCTCTAATTAATTTACTAAAAGTCTAATTACAGTTGTAGATATCTTGAATTGGATTTTTGACTAGTCAAAATTCATTTGGAGATATATCTAATTACAATTGTGACTAGTCAACTTATTTAGAGATATCTGCAAATATTTTTCAATGGAAGTCAATGGAGGAATATGACTAGTCTATCATAATATATTTGCAGATATTTCCAATCTGACTAGTCGAATTATAATTATGACAAGTCAAAATATAATTAGAGATATCTCTAAATATATTTATGGATAGTCTGAACAAGGTTTAAATGCTAAAACGGCTTGCCATACGCTTTCACCCAGTAGCACAGTGGAGAGTTCTCTAGTTATATCCTTTCAGTCGTTTGTTATGCAGTGACATGCAGTCAAATATTTCGCCAAACAGTCCTTAGGGATGCGGTGACACGCAGTCAGATATTTTACCGGACAGATCCGCCACTTTTGGCGCGCATAAACAATCATAAAGCTCTCGTGCTGCAGGAATGAGGAGGTCTGCTGAAGGCGCGCAGCTGACGTGCAGTGAGGAGTTTGCGTCTTTAATAAACTACGGCAGTTTGCGATCACTGAACAGTAAGAATGATTAATAAATCCATATGAAACAACCCCTTAAAAGTCACGTCTCGCTTTCAGTTTCGGGCTTTGGCGCGTTTTGCCTCTCTCTCTCTCTCTCTCTCTCTCTCTCTCTCTCTCTCTCTCTCTCTCTCTCTCTCTCTCTCTCTCTCTCTCTCTCTCTCTCTCTCTCTCTCTTTCTCTCTCTCACTCTCTCTCACTCACTCACGCGGGCATGCACTGTGGTCTCATGAGGAAACGCTGCTTTTTGATATAGTGTTTTTCTTGCTCCCGAATACAAATAATTTTTCAAGTATTTGTTTGAATCAAGTATTCGTAAAAACACGCTATTCGTGCCTTTCCGAATACCGTATTCGGGTTCGGCTCCACCCTTAATATATATATATATATATATATATATATATATATATATATATATACAACAAAACTATTTCATTAAAAATATTATACACATAGATTTTCTATAACAAATAACCCCTAAATTTGCCCGTTCAGAGCAAATAAAGTTAAATATGTATTAAACTAACTATATACAGTGGAAGACTTCTGGAAAATTAAGGATTTTAATTTGTACAAATATTATATATATATATATATATATATATATATATATATATATATATATATATATATATATATATATATATATATATATATATATATATATATATATATGCAGTCTTGTTGAGCATAAAAAAATACTTACCAAACCCAAAATTTTGAACCATGGTGAACATGACATATTCTTATACTCCATATAAGTTAGACTTATACGGCATGAGTGGAATAAAAGCCAGGACAGCAAGCATTACCTTCAGGCCTTATAATACAGACCATCCCTCATTCATTCTCCCACCCAGAGCGATATGAAAATCTCCATCCCATCCCCGCAGCTGCTTCCCACTGTAACCACAATCAGTCCAGGTGTATCTCCAGCAAGCCAACCTCACGCTGCTTTCATTAGCTCTGACTCGCTTCTTCTGGAATGATGACATTTCAGTGCATCCAACCCATACTTTCCCTAAAATGTGGAGCTGGTCTGCCTCACCACATGACAGGCCCATTGCGGCCAGACCTTCTCTTGGGAAATCACTACTAGTACTGGGGCTTGACGTTTGCGAATACATTGTCCGTCTCCCACGAGTAATTGCACGTAGCTTCTTAACCTGTTCCATAATTCCAGATGGGATTTACAAAACCTAGAGCTTAAATCAAAGCCTTCCTTATTTAAATGTGTAAAACAAGCCTCAATGAGAGAACCCAAACAACTTTGTACACTCTCGATGACATGATAGCGTGGCAAAATGCGAAGTTTTCCTGTCGATTGTCTCCGTTGGTTTTGTTATCGTCAATCTTGCGCTACATCCACCCGTCCTGATTGCTCCCAGCCTTGTTAGAGACCTTCATGTGTAACCTCATTCCCAAATGAAACCAGCTGCCCTATGAATAATTGAACAAAAGGATGTTGTCCTGTCCTGGGGGATGCGGGGCCTGGGTAAAGTGGTCACGTGACTCTGAGAGGCGCTGTCCCGGTCACCTGACTGGCACTGAACATCTGCAGGGCTTTTGAGGGACAGATGATGACATGAAAAGGATCCGTCTGCTGATTTTTGAATTCGTATGATGAGGGTCATATTGTTCTAAATATCTTTCAGTGTATTGAATAACACTAAAGTTAGACCAGCGGCAAGGGCTCTCCTCTCTGGTTTTACTTATTCAATTACCAAGTGTTCCTCCTTTCCCAAACAGATGCTCCCAATCAAAGCGCTACTCTCGACGATTTTCCCAGAAACTTCTCAGCCTAAAAACTGGTGTTTGAGACACTAATGACTCTTAATTTTGCAAATGGCACATACTTAAATAACCATTACACGTTGGAAGCTTGGACTCTTTTTGCGCCCTCTTGTACAAATCCTAAAGCCATTCTCCACCACTTCCCATGCAGGTGCATCCATTTGGAGAAGTAATGTTGAAGCGCCAAAAATAACGAGGAAAAAGCCACTGAACATTTCAATGTAAACATTCACTGGATTTTTTAATATATACATTTTCCTTATTTCTTTAAATGTATAATCACTTAGTTTATTCACCCTTAGGCAATCGAAGACATTTTCATCTTTAGTACAACATTAAAGAACAATTTTAGCTGAAACCATAGTCCTTGGGGATTCCTCAAATCCATGTGAAATGGCTCCAAGCACTTCGAGTCAACGAAAAATAAAACACATGCTGGCAAAATAAAGTTAATACATGTGACCCCTGACGATACATTGAGGTCTTGTGGAGCAAAAAGATTGGTCTATGCAAGATAATTTACATTTAACATGAATCCACAGCATCTGCAAACAGCCTTGAGCAAGTGTTTCAAATAATGTAGTCACACAACCAGATCAATTCACTTAAAACCTCAAAGTATCAAGAGCATCTGTATTAATATCGCTTGCCTGCTAGTGGAGTTTTGGCTTACAAAACATCCAACCCTAATGGCTGTTTTTAAAGCACTTTGAAACATCTACACTACCTGATAAGAGTCTTGCTGTTGATCCCAGTTGTAAGAGCAACAAATAATAACTTGACTTCTAGTTGATCATTTGGAAAAGTGGCAGAAGGTCTATTTTTCCAATGAATCATCTGTTGAACTGCATCACAATCGTCTCAAATACTGTAGAAGACCTATTTCAACCCGGATGGATCCAAGGTCTTTACAGAAATCAGTCAAGTTTGGTAAAGGAAAAATTATGCTTTGGAGTCACATTCAGTATGGGGGCATGTGAGAGATCTGGAGAGAGGATGGCAACATCAACAGCCTGAGGTATCTAGACCTTTGTGCTACCCATTTTATTACAACCATCAAGGTATGATAATATTTTTTAAAAATAAAATAAGAGTAATCCTAGAGGCGTTTGCCTTTTATTAAAGCCACCTTTGAAATCAAATGATCAACTAGAACTCAAGTTGTTATTTGTTTTTCCTAAACGTTAGATAAGTGACAAGACTTTTGTCAGGTTGTATTTTTTTTTTTTTAGCATTTTGCCTATTTGGTTTTTAAGGCTACTGATACATTGCAACTTAACTGTTACCTCACACCAGATTTTTTTATATTCAGCTGAAAAGTCATCACCTATGTCTATGATTTGTGTGGGTTATGTTTTAATTTTCGGGTAAACTGTACCAATCTTTTGTCACAAAAAGACCAAATGCATTAACCTCTTCCTTCATCCCTTCAGGTCGTCGTGATGAAAAGATCTCTGGGAGTTGGATATGCCGCTGTGGACAACCCTATCTTCTACAAACCAAACACATCTATGCTTTTGGGTGATGCCAAGAAGACTTGTGATGCTCTGTCTGCCAAGGTCCGCGAGGGCTAAAGAGGAAAGACAAGATCTGACCTTGCTTTGCACCAGATGAGTCACAGAGATGAGGAGATCGAACAAACCCAATAAACCCTTAGATAATAAATTAGCACAAATAGAATTAAGCTCTTAATGACACACACTATGGCCGTTTTGATTTATTTAGCCATAGAAATAGGAAGTTTATTCAGTGTTTCCAGGATTTTTATTTTTGTTCTTCTTTAAACACTTTTTAGGTCCCATTTCAATCGAGTTAAAAGGAAAAAAGCATTACAGCATTATCACATTGCATCAAAGCATGACATTGATTAGCATTATTAAATGAAGCTAAGCTAATTTTTGTATTATAAATACAGTTTTTATGTTTTTAGCATTATCATATATTAATTTTCTCAACTTCAAACTGTATGCTTTTTTCCCTTTTTCTTGCTTATTGTTAATTTCCTGCAAACTTACCATGTGCATTAAGTGACCAGCTGATGGTATAGTGTGTTGTTCCAAGCGAGGAATTACCCCTGCAGCTTCAGAGGACCATTTCCAAACAATGCAAATTTTCTCTTAAGAGCTCAAAGCGTTGAAGGATCGCTGCTGAAATGAAGTACAGTCCTAGCTAATTTCACTGAAGATTTAAACACAGAATCCCAAACACCTGTGGCTCCTCCATAAGACAAGATTTGTATTTCCCAACCACTCGTAATTTAATTGAATGTCACTGTAGTGGTGAGGTTAGCATGAGTAGTTACTGTATTTCTGCCCTGTTGTGCTCCCAAATTAGTTCCCAGCAGTAATCCTCTACAGTGTTTGACAGGGAGTGGAACAGATGTACTGTACTTTACCCACCGGGACCTAAAGGAATAGATCTTGCGAGATACAGGAACCAAGACAGACCATTACAACGACCCTACCTCTCCATAGTTTCAACTCGACCAAAACAATCCCTCACCTCTCTGATCTCACACTCCTCTGCTAATATTTGTCTCTAAGCTGGCCTACATTTGGGTGCGTAGTTTGTTCCTAAGTGTAGACTGGATGTAGGAAGTTACATCGCAAATAAGCTGCAATTATTTTGCTGAAAATCACCAGGAATATTTTATGTAAAAAGAAGTAAGGGAATCAATTGTCGGAAGGAGCAAGAAGTATTTATCGAACTCTGTTTGGGTTAATACGGCGTGTGCATTCCCTCCTGCTCTCTTCAGGATATGTCATGTACACAGGTTCAAATAGAAATGATTCTTTGATAACTGCTTTGCAATACATGGGAGGGAAGAAGGCAAGTCTCCAGATGTTTCATTGTGCCATGGTGAGGAATTAATGTCATACTGTGAAATGTTTTTTTTCTCTCCACTGTACCACAGAACATCCCTCTTAATAAACATCCTGATAAGAGAACCGATGGCACGAACATTCATTTATTTCACAATATTGCATGTCTTCAGTGTTGCGGGCACCACAATACCTAAATTGGGCTGTTGAAGAAGCCACTTGGATCTTCTGATGAGCGAATATCTGCGCACAAGTGACAGTGATTACCCATTGTCAGTTTTGAGGTTTTTCGAGTTAAGGGTGGAGATATTTTGTCTGATCTTGAGCCCATGTGGGTCCTTTCGCCTTCTCAACAAGTGGCACTCAGACATGATGGTATCTTCACGCACCTTCTCCGAATCTTCCTTAAGAGGTGAGGGATCGTTGGCAAAGTGCTTCAAAGAGGCTTTAAGCAAGCTTTCGTGTGTTTATTTTGAGTCAAAATATGGGACTTTTTTGACGTTGGGAGGAAAACACATTCCAGCCATTACTAGTTGATTCATTGTATTTTGGTTCTTCATGTCTGGTCCGTCTATCAGTTTTTATATGCTTTATCTCTCTTAATTCCAGCCTTTCCAATGTCCCACAGGGTCTTGTAGATGTTTGTGGTCATGCTAATGAAAGTGCCTGATGTTGCTGCTTGTTCTCTGCAACCGTGCTGAAAGCGTTTTAAATTGGTCTGCGTGACTGTTTCATTACCCTAGGAGTTATCTCCAGTCCTGCAAGTGCTGAAAAACACCAGATGAAATATGATTGGAGCTAGTTAGACACACTGTGTTCCTTCACCACAAATGTGACAATAATTGTGTGGTTTGTCTCAGTGATGCCAAAGGATGTGGCTTTTTTTTCTTCCCCCGTCTGGACTATTTTGCTCAATCTAGACTCTTGGAGATGATTCTAGATGCTCTCTTCCATTAATAACCTACAGCTTTCTTAAACAACTGAAACTGTCCCGATAATTGGCATTTATTTCTGTTTAGTATGCATTGAAAGCTTCTTGCAAAATGTAGTGGCCTGTATATTTTTAGAGCCAAAACGATTTGACTTGATGTCTGAATAAAAAAAAAAAAAACGTTCCCTAGCCAGTTAAAGTCATTTTGAATGCTTGATGGCCTAATTTATGGGTACCCAAACGTAGTCTTGCAAGGCCAGTGTCTTAGTTTAGCTTTAACTTCCTTCAAACACACCTGTCTGGAAGTTACCAGTACACCCAGAAAGAGCTTGATTTGCTGGAACTACTCATCGGCCCTCAGTAACCAAGTTTCCACTCTTTTGCTTCATTAAAGACTTCACTTGAAGGAGGTACAAGAAACATTTTTAGTTTCAGGCCATACAGAAATTAAAGCATCATACAAATGCAGATTTGTCAGCTGCACATGAATCATATGAATCTTCTGTTGCACCACATAACAAAGGAGCTCCATTAGATTTAGATGTGACATGGTTAACGTGTGCACGTTATTAAAGAGATCAGACTACATATCCTTGCCTGTGGTGTTGACCTCATCTGTTCCACCATGGATTAGGGAGAAAATAGTCGTTTTGTATGCATACCACTTAAGACATTCATTCCATATTTACTTTTGTAATTTTAAGTGCAAATATGTTTCAAAAAACGGACAAATTAACAAAATAAAGAAGTGTGGTCAAAATGGAGCAATACCATGCCTGATATCTAAATATTATTACTTTTATTTTAATAGATTTTTTTGTGCTGCTGTGTGTGCAATAAGTAATATGTATGCACATTCTTGACCAGCATAGGCACATATCACATGCTTTCAGACCTGGGAAGTAACGAAGTACAAACTTCAACAACTTTTTACTTGCATTTCATGTGTTTGGTGGGACGATATACATGATTTTTTTTTTTTGTCATTGCGCAATTTGAGCACCTTTTTGATGCAATCAATCTATTTTCTATCACATACCTTAGACAAGGCTTGGATGACTATGTAGATGAGACAGAGGGAGCTGCCCTGTTTACATGTTAATAAAACACATTTTGCTCGATCAGATCCAAGGTAAACGAGGGAGGCACATTCCAGTTCAAAAATATACCATACAAATGCTTAAGCCTATTGTCCACTTCTGGTCATACTTTCACAGGCTTTCAATCTAATAACGTAACAAAACAAAAAAAAAGAGTTTTTGATAAAGATTTGTACATTTAGCACTAAAACAGTACTTTTACAAGAGTCATTTTAAACATGAGTATCTGTACTTCTACTTGAGTAAAGGATGTGTGTACTCTTGCCATCTCTGCTAAACTGAACCATGACTTTATACCAGCTTTTAGGTGTGCAGTGGTGGTGTTCGGAAATGAGGCAACAATGCACCTTAACATACCTCCTTTTCAGACCAGCATGCCCATGGGTGCAGAAATATGCACAAATGCATTTGCTATTTAAACAATGTGGTGCAGGACGTGAAAAAGATACTTGTACCAGGCTGAAACTTGCAAAAAAAACTTTCATTGTGACGCAAAAACCAGTGCCATCTGAATTTATTTTCTAAAATGAGTATTTTTCCTCAGCCTACTATTTATGTTCAGTTATTTCATATTAAAGGCAATACATATAACCTATACTATGTTATAAAAGTAAAACTACTTAACCTACAAATAGAAACCAGTCAAAAATTCTCATTTTAGAAAAAAAAAAATTCTAATGGCACTTAAAGGTTTTGGCATCTTAACTTTTCAATTGCACTATTACACCAACAACATTAACCTGCAAGGATTGATACAAATCAAGCTTTCATATTTATACCCATTTTTACCCTTTCCATCTACAGTAAGTGCTGCAGAAAAAGTAAAAACTTATCAGGTAACCTTTACCCAATGTTCTGTGTTCCAATTTTGGCATGTCAGAATTGCATGTACAGTATGCTGCTGTGGCTCATCTGCTATAAGGTTAGGAGTGTGTCTTGTGCACAAAGATGCTGTTCAGTAGACCTTAGCTGTAATGAGTCATTATTTGAGTTACTATTGCCCTTCTATCTGCTTAACCCAGTCTGGCCATTCCCATCAATGATTTTTACCCACATTTTAGACGCTCTTGATATTTAACGCCTTCCAAAGTTTATGAAATCCTCAGACCATCTCATTTGGCACCAACAGCTATTCACACTTTCATCTGCACCAGATCATCTTAACCATATACATGCTCACATGAGAGTTGCTGCCATCTTAGTGGCTGTTTAGATATTTGCATTGACAAAAACTTGAACAGGTGTACTTATAAAGAGTCAGGTAAATTTATATTTATGTATATTACTTTTAGTGCATCATGTGGTTACACCCTTGATTAGGAACACCTCTTTTTAAGCCACAATTTTTATCCTAAAATAATAGTAGTAATAGATGCTTGCCTTAGTGAGCACCACAAAAAAAGCTTCATGTCTGCACAGAATCTTCTTGTTTGTATAGTGGCATCTCATCTTAATCCCCAAAGGAAACTGTGACTTCAGATTAAAGGGATGCGTAACAGTTGATCATCTCCCTATACACTCGGAATCAAGCCCACCTGTTCCACCTGTTTGACTCTTTTAACAGTTTAAGTACACAGAGCACCAGATGCAGCGCATGCAAATCCCTTTCATCATCCGGCCGGCCGAACATTACTCTGATTTAAAGCACACAAACAGTATCTCCAAACTTGCAGCGCAGACGCTCTTAAAAGCATTCGTCCGAGCCATTTCACTCTTAAAATAAAGATAAACGTTGACAATGTACAACCCTCATCGTACCGCATCCTCGCTATTAGGCCTGACATTTTAGAAACACAAACAGTTCAAGTGTCCTTTTAAGATACTTTTATTGTCTAAATTCCCTGAACGTGAAGCTTTGGTTAAAATGGAGCGGTTAATGTCAAAGACGTTGAGTTTTTTTTTTCTGCTTTTGAGGTTTTGCAGGGGAGTTCTGGCCTGCTGTACAGAGGGAGCTTTTAGTAAACAGCACACAGTATTTGGCAGTGCTGTTATCAGCAATAGGGTGAATCTGAGATTGTATACAAGAAGTGGAGAGGATATTACATGTTACTATGCATGTTCTTCAGTTTGTCGTCTGATAGCAGGTCGTCATTTTAATAGCAGTCGGTTTTATTGATGTAAATGCTTTGTACTTATTCCATACTGTGGATGTGTAAAGATAACAAACGCAAAGGTGCTATAAGGACGGATTCTTTCTTTCTTTTTTTTTTCCTGCTTGGCGTCTAAAAGTAATATAGCACTGATAGTGAAACATTAGATCTTTGAGATGCAAGATTTTTTCCAATAAAGCAGATTTGTAATAGATAATTTCAAGCCCACATACATGCAGAAATACTGCTGTTATGAAAAGACAGCAAAAATTACTAATTAAATAACAGTAAAATGGAAAAGTTGATCTAAAATATTTATAAAAATGTCATTTATTATGGTAATGCAAAAAAAATGTATCTGAATTTTTATTACTTCAGTTATTAGTCGCAATTTTAGTCACTACAAAAGAGGTGGTCCACTACGATATCATATTTTAAACTTTAATTGGTGTGTAATTTAGATGTGTGAACATAAACAACATCTCTGAATGTAATGCGCTCAAAGTTCAATGTGAAAAGAGACATTGGCTTTTACAGAGTTAGCTTAGTAAAACCTATACAGTGAACAAAATTTGGGGACTACAAAAAATCCATCCGGGCTAGTGAGATCACAAACGCTTCTATTTCCACAGGGCTTGTTGTGTTTCTGTATATGGGCTTCCAACGGAGAGACACAAAAAGAGAAGTGCTTACAGTTTCATTTATATTGTTCCAGAGAATTTTATATATATATATATATATATATATATATATATATATATATATATATATATATATATATATATATATATATATATATATACACACAGCTCTAGCATTTGACAAAGGACAGCTTCCAGAATTTCTCCCAGTTCAGTGCTGTATTCAGCTAAAACTCCTCGAAGAAGGAGCAGCTTCAACCATAATAGACAAAGCTGTGAATTGTGAGCTGCCTCAGAGGAACTAGGACATATGACAGTTGTTTTCATGTTAGTTGAGTAGTATGAAATCAAAGTAAGACATGAA